TGACTATCTTGTCAATCAAACACGGCGGAGAGGAGGGAAGGGAACACGCGGATGTGCATTATTTAAAGGTTCGCTCCGAAGGTTGCGAGCGATTCATTTACCAATCGAATTTGCCGACTTGATCCTCGTAGAGGCACAGGGAGAGATTGAACAGGCCCGCCAGCACAATTAAATACTGCAAGATTTGCGCGTCGACGAAGAACCGGTTGACATTGCCACGGATAGTCCACGCGAACGGAGCCATAACGACGACGGTGACGACGATAACGTTGAGAGCGCCGAGCGAGTATCGCGCGCGCGCTCTCTTTTACACCGCTCTTTATTACACTTTACCCGTTTTACGCACTGCACGGTGTCACGGGCGGCGACGGCGACGTTGCGTACGACGATACAACCAACACTGTTCGCTGTATGTGCAACGTCTACTACGTATATACACGCATGTTCTACATGTATCCCACACTCCGCGCGATCACCTCTCGTCTGATGCTTCCTCCGTCCCCGCGGTCCCCGTGTCGTGTGTGGCGCGTGCGCGTGTACACACACACACACACACACACACATACACACTCGCGATCGTCGTGTAATAGATAAGACAGGTGAGCTGTATCTTTGTCCAACACGTGGCTGATTCCAAAACCGATTTACAATTTTTCAATGTCCCGCGCACGTATGACTGGTACGTAATATGAATGTCCTCCCTGAGGACACATCGCAGCGTAAACGATTAATTGACGAGGCGAAAACTGCAAAAATTTATTCCCGAAAGTAGGTTTTTCTCCGAATTAAAAAAGCGTAAGCTTAAAGTTTGTTCGTTCCATAAATTGTGCGCGCGCGACGGATAAACAAATATCGTTTATATTTTAATATATTTCCCAAACTATATATATATATATATATATATATATATATATATATATATATATATATATATATAAGAACAGAACAGAGATATTAACGTCCTAATTGTAAAACAAGGAAGGAGATTTCTCAAAATCTCTCTTTAAAGAACTAGATGTGCAAGTAGCTAGCGATGTCTCGCAACTACGCTATTTTGTAGTAGTTTTATTATATCGTTTATTTGAAAAAGTTATTTTCAAAATACATATAAATAAAAAATAAATGCTTCCTAGTGCTATATAGAATATGCGTTTATGTAATCGTGTTGCTCACATTGTAGTTGTTATTGTTAATTATAATCTTCTTAAGAAAACGGGATAATCCGATAAATCAGTTTCGAGGCCGCTATACTTGTTACCGCTGTCTTCGCTATCGTTGTGACAGCAAAAGAGTGCCTTAAGCGTAGAGAAGATATAAATAAATATATATATATATATATATATATATATATATATATATATATAAAATTTATTCAAGTATTCCATTGTCATCGAAAAAAGAAAGGTTTGTAAAAATCCACAAGATTGAAAAATTTATAAGAGCGATGGGATGCTCTCTTATGCTGCCCTTATATTAGTTATGTTAGTAACATAAATAAAAATTCTATCATACATACGAAAATAGAGACAAGTGTTTATAAATTATTTATAATTGAAGTTATATATATATATATATATATATATATATATATACACATATATATATCCTAGCACATATACATATATTTGTAATTTCTACAGAATTCCTGTTCTCACGTCGCGTTTGGTTTTTTCTGCATTCTATCTAAATTGACAATATTAAGTTGCATCTCTTTACTTTCATATCCCCATATTCTTTTTTATTTTCATTGCTCTTTTTCGCTCATTCATACGCTTATTAACCCGCTCCGATTGTATTTTTTTCTTTTTTTTTTGCTTATACGCAATCTCTCGGAGCATTTTATTCGCGTAGAAACGAATAAAAGTTAAAAGCAGATTCGTGATGACTAGAATATTTTTACATTTCTTATACATTCATTCTTTGTATACTTATTGGCAATAATCCATAACAGAAAAACATAAAAATGTTATCTTAGATCATAATATATTATTATTAACTTTGGTTTATAGCATCCTTCAATGATTTTGTTAAAAATAGAAAAGATTAAAAAGAATAATTTGCATCTTACGCGCGATTTTCGTCAAGTGCAAAAGTTGTAAGTAGTGAAATTTAAATTACGTTACACTGTTCGAATTAAAATTTGTCAGCAAAATGTATGGGCAATGTACATGCTATCTCAATCGACTGCTATTAATAATAATGTTGTGAATTCTATCAGTTACGCAACACTAAATTTGCTTCTTTTCAACAAACTATAAAAATTAATGTCTTGTAACAAAAGAATACATGTAAGAATAATAGAAATAAACCGTCAAATATTATTAATACATATTGCTGCTGTTAATTCGTCATTTGTCACTTGGCAGTATTATATGATATAAGATGAAAGCTAACATGTGTGTACAAGTATCTTAAAATTTTGTAAAATAAGTACACTACTTACAAAAAATGCAATCTACGCATAATATTATCTTATAATACATAATTATAGTATATTATTAATTGTGCTATAATTAATACGTTATTATACACATATGCAGACGTATACATATACATATAAAGAATTTAAATTATCTTTCTAAAAATTGTAATAAAAAAGATAAAAAATAGAGAGAGGCTAAACTTGATTAATCATCATTTTGAAGACATACACTTTTATATTATTTATTGAATATTCTAACATAAAAAGATTGTTTTTTTTTTAAATAAAAATATTAAAACTTTATTGCAAGATAAATTACATACATCATTATCTAATGATAGTTGTATGTAGTTATCTCGAATAATATGACTCATACAAAATACGAATAATATTGCATCCGCTTAATTACCTATCTGATATTTTAATAAATAATCCAGCAATTGCTTTGTATCAGCGTGTACACAAAGATTTTGAAAATAGAAAAGATTCAAAATTATATTTTAAAATGTATAGGTTTGATCAAAATGTAGAATATGCTTCTGCGATACATTATGCACATCTAAATAAATTGTAATATGCCTTTTTTATTTATTTTTTATGGCTTTTTGAAATAATCAAAATAATGATTTTGATCGCCAAGTCTTTTTAAACGATTGAAAAATGTATGTCTTTGTAAGTTAGCATTGGTAATATTATGAGATTGAGAAAAATCTGTTGTTTTATCATTATGAAAAAATATTACTCTTATTTCTTCTTTTAAAAATAAGACGGAGAGAATTATTCTTCTAAATAGCTGTCCACCTTTTCGACCGTTCTAGTATTAAATATTCTTTTCTTTTGAATATTTTTAACTTTGAAAAATTTTAAATTATTTAGGAATTTGCCGCGTCCCCCCCTTCCCTCCCCTAGAATATCAAGTGTGGCATTTAATTTAAGTCTGTTTTACAAATGGAAAGCACAAATATGGCACAAAAGGTCATATCCTTTCTATATATCCTTATCTTTTGAATATAAAAAAATAGAATGATTACAAGTAGGGTAATATCCATTTATCATCACACTATTTTATCATTTCTTAGAAAGAGAGTATAGTATACCTATGGCAATAAAATTTGATCTTTTCTTTAAGTTTAGTGCAAATAAAAAAAAATCTATAAATAAGAAAAAAGTATAATCGCGAGTATAATTCTTTAATAAGGTAATGAATTAGAGATAATGATATGAGCAACTTTATAGCAATAGATCACTTATTTGTACAAGACATCTCCATCTTTCTCTAAATTATCATAGTTTTTTGTGTTAATTTTTTTATGTAAACAATTCTCGTACAAATAAATGCGGAAGAGAGCGAGATATATTATAGTATTTTTAGAAAATACATTGTGCTAAATTTGTATTTTTCAATTTAAGTGGACTTTGTATCGCTGTATATTTATTATTGGCATTTTGTGTATTCAACTGATAAATTTTTTTTGATTATTATTTTTGCAAAAGAGATATTTTTAATTTACTAAAAACATATTCAAGCAACGTTAATGAGCAAATTGCGTTAATGAGCAATGCAATAAACTTGTAGAATATTTTAACTTTTTTACAAATTGGAAATATTACATTATAAAATGGAGAGAGATTATATTTAAAAATTCTTCAATATAATAAAAAATTACATTAAAATAACTTGCCTTTTTAGATTTATCAAAATAAAACAAATATTAATGTACAGATGTAGTACATTATTATTTCTTTTAATATATTTTAATAATTGGAAAACTTGTTGCAATTCTAGACAATAAAGTCCTATGCATTATCAAATTCAATTTGCACACAATTAGCACAGAATAGTATTAATTCTCCTCTTTTAACAATACGAAAAATACTATGAATTTTCATGTTTATGTTATTTTATATGGCAGTATCCTGTATGCACATCATATACATACATTTCTTTTATTAGAAATATAAATAAATTAAAGATACTAAATATTAAAAAGAAAAATGGAAAGACAAATGCTATATTATGCTGCCTAAGAAAACATGTTTTAATTTCTCTAACAGATAAAATTTCTTCCCGTTAAAAATTTCTACACTAGAAAAACTCTTAATTGCTGTTAGTAAAATACACACATATATTGTCTAGAACTGATTGTGATTGAGAGTGCTTGCGACATTTATTTGATTATTCGTTGCTATGGCACTGTATGTTGAAATAATTCTATATAATGCCAGTTTTACACGTCATAAAACTTTCCAGCATGTGATTGTTATGATATAGCTATCGCGTTATATATGTATTAAAATCAATATTCTTACTATATTGTAAATGTAAAAAGTCGAAAATCTGGCAGCCCTGATAAGTAAAGCTTCGGTACTTAATGCTTTTAGTCATCACAGCACATTTACACTGTATTATCATCGATTTGCAGGACTGCAATATTAATTAACAGAGATTCTCTGATGTAAAATATAAAGAATCGTTATTATGTGTGAGCTTCTTTTCTGATTACTACAACCGCTATTACAATCATATATTTTTCCAGCAAAATGCAAATGTATGCATAAACACAAGTTGAAAAAACGACGACTGTAAACAAGTAATAAATCTCTTCCTGCAATTACTGTTAAATAGTTATCCTATTTTCTTTTTTTCTTTTACTTTCTCGTTGTCTAAACTTTCTGGTCGTGAATTAGCAACGTGTGACTGAGACCAGAAAGTTATAAATTGTACTCTTTCTGTGATGCGGTATATTCTATAGCTGCCAGAATAATTCGTTAAAATGCACATGTACTATTCAATTTCTCTTTAAAAATTCATTCATATTTCTCCCTTGCGTTCAATTATCAGATCTATTTTGATCTGTTGCTATATATATACGTTACGTTTATTTATGCTGATTTTTTTTGCAATTCCTTTTATCGTTTATAACATAATGCACCTTCTTTGCCGACGTTTTTGCGGCTCGGGTCTTAAAACAGCACGTACTGCCTCGTCAAACACTTGCTTCAATCCACGTTGCGTGAGAGCAGAACATTCCATATATTTTACCGCACGAATCTATGACATGCAATCTCTTATTACTAAATTACTCTAATATTTAAAATAAGAATTATACAGGTTATAAAGTGTTTTTTTTTTCTTCTACAAACCTTATTTGCCAACTTCTGCCCTTGCTCACGCTTAATAGCACTAAGGCCTTGTTCAGCTAAGGCAGTAAGCGTTTCACGATCATCTCGTAAGTCTATTTTAGTTCCAACGAGTATCATTGGTGCATCCGGGCAGTGATGTTTTATTTCAGGGTACCATTTACTGGTTACATTTTCGAATGATGAAGGGCTCGTTACTGAGAAACAAATGAGGAACACATCTGTCTGAGGATAGGAGAGAGGACGAAGTCTGTCATAATCTTCTTGCCCTGCTGTGTCCCATAATCCTAGACTAACTGGAATTCCATCAACAACCATGGGTGCAGAATAGTTATCGAATCTGAAAAAATGTTAAAAACATGTACATTTTGTACATTTTTTACAATTTATTTTTTATCTATTAAATATATTTTATTTAAATCTTGATTATTTAAAACTTAAAATTTTATTTAAAACTAAGCAAAAAAAAAAAAGAAATAAACGATCATTTTTATTCTTATTTAAATGTTTATATTTTAATTATATAAAATATATAATTTAAGAAATTGCCGAATGAGATAAAGCCAAGATAGATTTGTGAGAATCTAAAGGGCAGGAAGCAACATAAAAAGACAAGTTGAAATAAATTACTTCCTGTACACAGCAGTTAGGTATCTCATACTCTCTGCTACTATTATTAGCCACTCCATTTGATTGGTCTAAGAAAGAAACTAAGGCAAAAACCTTGTCATAAAGTATGTCTTTAATAAACTATAAAAAAGTAAAGGATTCTTTTACAAAAAAGCATATACCATACAACTCTAATTTAAATAACATTAATAATTTAAATAATATTACTTACACAGTAGGTACATATTCTCCAGGAAAACTGTCCGTTGTGTATGAAATTAACATGCAAGTTTTTCCTACCGTCCCATCTCCTACTACTACACATTTTATTGGTCTACCTGAACTCATGATTTATTATCTAAAAGAAAAGATAAACGTTATTAATACTATTATATATTTTATAGTTATTACTTATATTAATACTATATTACTATATTTATATATAATGAATAATATATATTCGAACTATATTCAATATTATTCATATTATTCATTATGTATAAATTTTGAGCTATTAATAAGTACACATATGTGATAATATTATTACGCTATATTAAATGAAAAATATTATTAATGATTTTTTAATCTGTCGCTTAAAACGACAATCTTGTGAATCACTATTGATGCAAATACAACCACTATAGATAAACAACACATATTATATAAAATACATATACATGTATGTATTAGCATAGCGTGTAAAATTCGTGTTTTTTTTTCTTTACTTTTATATTTCTCGATACACGATATCGTTAAAAAATGTAAGCGTACGGAGGTTGTACAAACTTGAAGCATCATTTAAAAGAATCATCCACGTGTGTCCTTTATTTATTAATATAGAGCACTTTAAATAGAATTTATGAATTCAAAGTAAAAAGTCACCCTCCTTTCGCGATGTTGTTATTAATTTGTATTACAAATCATTGGTCCGGCAAAATTAACGTGTTCTCTCGCCGAGTCGAAGGGCTTGTCCTAAAACCGCTCACCATACTTGCTCGCATGCGGATAACGAGTACATAAACAAGGGTTGGCCAGGCGATATCGCACACTCACCCTCTGTGTATATGGGGGAGTAAAAGAGATTCGTCTTATATATAAAATCACCGAACACCGACCACAATGCGATTTCGCACGTTTATATACGTATGTGTGTACGTGGCTGTCTCAAAAAATCACAAAAGCGGGTGCCATGACAGTATCGCGGTTTTCGGGACTGAGCGGAGCTAACGTTCGCTTGGTGACAGATGTTCGACAATCACCCCTCTCTCTCCCACTCTCTCTCTCTTCACCTTCCCTTCCCCTTCTTTCCGCAAATTTATTGTTCGTGAAAATGGACTTGTGACGTCATAGATCCTCTTTATGAACGGTGCGCATTGCGTCTTAAGGATCCCGTTCGGAGGAACTTGTGTGCACAGCATAATACGTGATGCTACGTGTCTAAGGAGGAAGAAAGATGGAAAAGGAACAAATTTGCCAATCCTATTTCAATGTAAGATACACATAGAAAAATCAGCCAATGACATATATTAAAAGATATCATGTGTGTTTGAAAATCTACTTGCCAGTAAGTACGGTAGAATTGATCTTGATTGATCAATCAAGAGACAAAAAAAGGAGCACAGTTTTTAAACATACATAATTGACAGTTCTAGGTGCGATTGGTTTTCGTTTCATCAGTTTTCAAACAGACTGTGTGATTGAGTATGATCTGAAAAAATAAGGATTCTGATTAGAAACTATGTTACAAATATTTTAATAATGCATTTTCTCCTCTTTGAGGCATTATTAATTAAACAATTATGGATGCGCTGGATGTCATTTATCTAATTTCCTCGAAAAATAATGTTTTTATATGGAATGCAAATGGTAAATAACAAAAAAAAAAAAAGAAAAAGTTCATATATATATATATATATATATATAATACTATATAAGCCTAATACATATATTAGGCTTGTGTTTAATTTGATGTTTAATTTGTTTTGATTCTATAGACTGGTTGAAACTTCGACAAAATCATAGAATAATCGGCGAACTAGTGGGTTCTTTTCCAAAATCAACTAGACAAGATGTATTCTCAGGTCTTCCGTTACTTCTATTACAAGAAGAAGTAACTCTTTTACTCGAGAAAAAAATTGCTTGTCTCATACAATGCTCAAATCTAGAAAAACCACCAACTGAATCTTTGAATGAAAAATTTCAAGAATACAGGAATATGCTATTTCTACAGCAAGCAGAATGTTTGAGAGAAAACAGAAAGAAACAGGTAATTGTAATTTATACGTATTTATATTAAAAGAATATTAAGGGAGAGAGAGAGATAAGAAAATATTTTTTAATGGAATTAATTTTTTTGTAAGATTACTTCTGTGATGGATAAAATTGTCGAAGGAAAAAAGCGCAAAATACTGGGGTTACATACAAGTAAAAAAAATATGAAGAAGCCATTAGATAAAAAGACTCGGGAAGCTTTAGATAAAATTGAAATTAATACTCAAAATTTGCTCGAGGAAGAATTGGCTAAATTACCTAAATTAAATAAAACTGAAGTTCTTGTTCAAACACACACAGGTAATGCACGCAACAGCTTGTAATCTGCACATACTATATATATATATATATATATATATATATATATATATATATATATATATACACACACACACACACACACACGTTATTTGATTAATTTATTCTTATATTATTAGCATATCCATGGTTTAATAAAGGTGATATAAAAGTAATGGAATGGAAATATCCACTTACTTCCAGTCAACGACATAAATATAAAGTATATAAAGATCTTTGGGAAAGAAAATATTACATTACTAGTGGAGAAAAATTTGGTGGTGACTTTTTAGTATATCCAGGTGCAATATTAGTTTCTTTTATATCGATGTAAAATCCTCCGCTTTATGCATATTACTTGTTGAGATAAAAAAACAGTCTATTTACAGGTGATCCAATAATGTTTCATTCACAATTTATAATACAATGCAAATGCAAGGATGAAGAAATGTCTATTACAGAACTTGTGGGTCAATGTAGAATCAGTTGCCATGTTAGAAAGACATTAGTGTTTGCTACATATTATGAAGAAGAAGATAGAGTAAAATATCAATCCTTCCAGTGGGCGGAAAATAACATAATTGAAAATAGTTAATATTGATCTAATTTCAAAGCATATTTATATTCATATTTTTAATTTAATCAACCTTTTTAAAGTGGTTATTCTTCACGGATATTTCTGCATTTTGATTTTACATCTCATAATTTTAATTATCGAAAAAATTAATTTCAATTCTAATTTGGGATCTTTTAGAAATTTTTCTTTTTATTATATGTGTAATAAATTGTTAGATAAGAATAACCTCGAAGCTAAATATCTGAATATCTAGCCAGTAACATGTGTACTAAATGTTTAGATTTTAAAATAAAGAATTTTGGTATACATTTTTTACATATAATAAATATAATATAATATATATAATATATATATTCTTATATTCTGTCAATCAATTGAAATTGATTATGTTGTGACTTTGGAATAACGTTAAAGTGTTTTTTATATATAACTTGGCCTTCACGGCCAGCATAATTTCGTTTAATCCAGGGATGCTTCCAGCAAGGATTAATTTTCTCACAAGTTACCATTACTTTGCCTGCTTCCAAAGCAAATAAGGTTCCATTCCGTCCGAAACCAACCTATTACATAAAAATCAAATATATTAATAAGGATATAGAGAGCTTATAATAAAATTGGAAGACGTGAATAATATTCACATTAAGGCCTGGGTGAAATCTGGTTGTTAACTGCGTAGCCAATATTGTACCCGCTTGTACATAAGTCCCATCTTGTACTCTCCATCCTCTGTGTTTCGGTCTAGCATGGCCAGGTTTATTACTGGTACTAGAACTAGCTTTCTTCGATGCATATCTAACACATATTTTTGCTAAATAAAAGAAGATGAAATAATAAAACCTTCACACATTAAGTATTCTTATTTGATCTATATATTCAATTTTATATATATATCATATATTGATAATAATTTGTATAATCCTAATACAAACCTAAATTATTAATATCACCTAATACCGCGATCTGCCGAATATTTTGTAACGCAAGAGAGGACAGTTGTGACAGATGAGCCATTTAAAATCCAACAGATCGAATTGTATCTTTTGTAAGTAATATGCGTCTTAAAAAAATACGCTTCTTTCTTCTTCTTCTACTTTCAAAAATTTATATTACATCAAAAGAGGGATCGCTCGATCGATCAATCACGGTTTGAAAAATAATTGCAAGGAGGTCCATGCACAAATATCTTTGAACAAATATCAGAGAATAGGTCTGTTCTTTTCAGCTGCACTGCTGCACTAGTGCAATAAGTTAGAAAGAGACAAACATGCTTTCTTTCACTCTAACTAATTGCACTAGTGCAGCAGTGCAGCTGAAAAGAACAGACCTATAATCTTTTATCTTATATGGGATACGTTCCATTAGTCCCGATCTACAATAGGTAATTTAAGTCCTAAGCCTTAAAAAATTGACCAATCACAGTCGAGTATTCTCTTAATACTTGACTGTGATTGGTCAATTTCTTGAGTTTTACACCTTACAATCTTATGCTACGGCCATTGTAGAATGGCCTTTAAACTTCCGCAACACTCGTAGCAGCATCGGGAGCGTTCCGTTTGACCACGTTTCCGACGCGATTGGTCAATTATATCGATCTACCTAGGGAAACCAGCAACGATTGACCAATTGGAGACGTGGTCAATCGAGTTGTTGTTGATCGAAAATTAAATAGAGACAAATAAAGTGGAACACACTCATTTGGATGAGAATGAACGAAAGGACATTCCCGTTTTATTCACAATGGGTGCTTTCCATTTAGCAACACAAGTCGACACAAGTGTCATTCTATCTTTGTTTATTGTTATTCATTGAAAAAAGATAGAATGACGCTTGTGTCGACTTATGTCGCTAAATGGAAAGCACCAAATGGCTACGGTCGAGGAGACGCTCTGGGCTGTGTTCAAAAATATCACCCGAGTGCTCCCGGGTATCATTTTATCTTTGTTGTTCACCGAATGTTAAACAAGGATAAAATGATACCCAGGTACACTCGGGTGATATTTCTGAACGCAGCCTTGGATGCTTTGAAGCGCTTGATAAGTAATTTTTTACTCCTTTTGCCTCGATTGGTCAATCAAACACAAGCGTCTGAAGCGTTCCAATCAATATGGCGCGACCAATCAAGTTTGTTCTCACGGTCTCGTTTGCTCTCTAATTACTTTCTCATCTGTGAAATATATTCCAAAGGAGAAAGTCTTCCGCACACCTTGACACAACTGGCTGGGGATAAACGAGACAAACGGGCGTTGATAAGGCCCGTCGATATATGTCAGTTTCATAAAATTCAAGATATTTTTCAGTTAAAACAAAACTGCATTGTATTATTCATTAAAAGAAAAATACTTAAAGAGAAGGGAAGCTGAAACGGAAATCCCTTAAAGAAAAAAGACGAATAAGTTTTGACAGTTTGCCGATTTAGAGTATAAATGACAACAAAAATGACGACGAATGTAGAGGATCTACAAAAATTGGAAGAAGAAGCGATAGCTAGGGGTACAAAGTACGTCGCAAATCTTTTGCAGCGGCCAGGTCAACTGGAGAAAATCGACATGTATAAGCGTAGAATCAGTAGGAAAAAGGCATCCGTCGAGACTATGCTAAAGACCGCGATGCAAAGTCAATTGGACGGTGTCAGAGTCGGCTTTGAGCAGCTACAAAGTTCTCTGGAAAGTATCGCCGTCGTCAAAGACGATCTGGATCATGTTAATCAGCTGTTCAGCTCTGTGCTCAAGCTCAGTTCCAGGCTACAGGCGGTACAGGAAGAGAACATGCGTCATTCTCAATACGTCATTGCGAAGGAAAACTTGAAGCACATATTCACCGTTCCCGAGAGCGTCGAGAAGACGAAGCAATGGATAAACGAGGGTAAGTTGCTGCACGCGCATCAAAGCCTGATGGATCTGGAAACTTCCAGAGACGAATTGTTGTACGAGCTTCATAAATTGCCGAATCAGTCGCCAGCGGATACAATTATGCTAAAAGCTTATTTCGAAGATGTTGAAATGCTTTCCCAACTTATGGAAAAACAGATCAGGCTGGTATTGAGTCGTACCTTAAATACAGTTAGAAAAGAGCCTACTGTCATAGTAACACCTTTGAGAATTATAGAAAGGGAAGAAAAAGCGGATCAATTTGCTATTCAAAGACACAAGCAGAGTGGTTTTATGGCACCAGGTAGACCCAAGCGATGGAAGGACATGGCGATGAAGGTATTGGAGAAATCGGTGGCAAATAGAATCGAAGGAACTCAGGTGGACGAGAGGGCGGATAACAAAATGTGGCTGGTAAGATATTTGGAACTTACGAGACTTTTGATCCTCGAGGACTTGAGAGTAGTAAAGACTCTATGTAAACCTTGTTTCCCGCCTTGGTACGACATAGTGAGTACTTTCGTTAAAATGTATCATACCAGTCTATCCCAACATTTAAAGGATATAATTACCGGTGGATTGGAAGGTAACGAATATGTTTCTCTGTTAGCGTGGATTATGAATACTTATACGGGGCCAGAATTGATGCGACATCCCGAATTAAATATCGACACGTCCGATATCGGTCCGCTACTTAGTTCCGAGATGCTAAACGATCTTCAAGACAAGTATTTGCGAAACATGTGTCAAAATTATGAGGATTGGATGAGAAAAACATTGGAAACGGAGAAACTCGATTGGAGAAGCGGTATCTTACCCGACAGCAGTACTCAAGAACTATATTATCACACCGCGGCACCGGTTATTATATTTCAAATGATCGATCAAAATCTTCAAGTTGCCAAGACCATCAGTTCTGATTTAACGGCGCAAGCATTGGTCCTATGCATAGAACAAGTAACTAAATATGGGTACATGTATAGACAGGCGATATTAGAATTTAAAACAAAACATTTTGAGGACAGGAGTCAGGTTCCTTACTTCACTCATCATATGATTACCGTGGTCAATAATTGTATGCAGTTTAACGAATTAGCGCAGCAGATGAAGCAACTTTACTGGGTGCCCAATACTACCGGGGATGCCACTGTAAAATTTGAAAATCTCTTGGCGAATTATCAACAATTGAGGAACGAGGCTGCAGCCATATTGTTGCAAGAATCCTTTCTGGACCTGGAACTGCATTTTCAAGATTTGATTACACCCAAATGGTTATCGTCGCCCATCCCGGTCGAGACTATCTGCGTTACCTTGGAGGATTATTTTCAGGATTATAATCACTTGAGTCCCAAAAACTTTGAGTACGTTATTACCGAAGCGCAGAATCTAATCGCGAAGCGTTACATATCTGCGATGTTACAGAGAAAGATATCATTGAAAACGTACGACGAATGCTTGACCTGCACGTCAAAGATAATGACGGAGGCGGACAAGTTGAAGAACTTTTTCGACAGAATCGCGCCGAAAATCGGTAATTTCAATTCGCCGTTCGAGATAATAAAACGTCTCGCCGAGGTACTGAGGTGCGAGGATGCGGAGATTCTCTCGCTCGATTTACACTCTTTGATCGAAAAGTATCCGGACATGACCGAGGACCATCTCATCAGATTGCTCGGTCTTCGGGGTGACATATCGCGAGCGGAAGCGCGAGGGAAGGTCTCTTACATCATGGAAGCTCAACGAAATCGAAAGCCCGTGCAATCCATCACAAGCAGTATATTCAAGCAGATAGTAATACAGGATAGTTTTCTTGGTTGGAAGCCTTGAAATTGGAAAAAGAACTTTTATGAAGTAAAAAAATGAGACAATTTTTCCATGTATAATATTAATGTATGTGTGTATATATATCATTCTTCCAAATTGAATTTTTTTAAAGTGAAACATTAATAGAGACATAAAAAAGATGTAATAAAATATATTTGTAATGTTGAGCAAATTTGTTAGTGTTTAACATGATAATGTTTATCATGATGTATTTTTCATTAGCAATTTATAGAAACATTAAAAGTTTATTTATTCATATGCAATATATATATATATATATATATATATATAATATAAATAAATATATATATATATATATATATATATTATATATATATGTATGTATGTATGTATGTATGTAAGAATTAAAAAATGTTAATAAAAATTAATTTAAATATAAAAATGCGTGTTACATGTATACATGTGTGTGTGTGTGTGTATAAAATAACATTTTATATTTATATAGATAATACTTTGTAAAAATATGCAAACAATTACATTAAATTATATAATATAAAAATTATCATATTAACAATGTATCTTGGTTAATCCTGCTCACGCACATACTTCTTTTATATATATATATATATATATATATATATATATATATATCTTTATATAAACCTTTTATATGTATACTAACACAGTATCATAAAAATTAAAAAAATATATTTTTTTTTTAATTTTTATGATACTGTATTAGTGATTTTTTAAATTTATCTTCCAGATAATTGAGATTATGTTCAAGTCTGTGAGAAATAATTTCATAAACTTGTTTAGTCAAAAAAATGCAATCGTCTTTATCAGCTTTATGAAGAAAAAAAATACAACGGTTAATATGCATGTGTTCGTATCATATATAACGCACGAATGCACGTATCAATTAGTAAATAAGTATATCTATAAGGAAACTTTCGAGCTGTCAAAAGTAAATCACGCACAAACAGCCGGTTACTCAAATATTTATGCATTTACAATGAATGTACAAGTAAATATAAACTCGCAGAGTAAACGCGATTTGTGTGATAAATTATGACATGTGAAAATTTATATCTTCATACAGCAATAATTCAAATCTTACGTGAATCTTATAGCTATAAGCAAACGTCATCATAACCTTACAATTAATTTTAAAAATTTATATTTTCAGTAGTAGGGGCATTATATACATTAATTTAAGACAGTTTGGTATAAATATTTACAACAATTATGCGCCACCTAACAACATTGTTATTGTTATTTATTTGCGCGAGAGCGAGAAATCATTTTGATGTAGATCCACTGAAAACGATTATCTGGGGTCCAGGACTGAGCCCAACAGAAATTACCATGCGTGCCAGATATTTCTTCCTACAACTTGTAGACTTAGATGGAAGAAAGTTAATGTTCAATTATATACATAGATATCAGATATATACATAGATTAGATACATAGATATCAATTATATACATAGATATCAGATATATATATATATATATATATTTTTTTTTACATATATATTTCTTATATATATATATTTATTCAAAGTGAAATGAACATACAAATATTATTTCATAGTGAAATGAACATACAAATATGTTGAACATTTATAAATGCATCTATATAACATTTATTTAAAATAATATTTATAATTATAAAGTCATTAATGATTCCAATGGTAATCAAATGTAACAAAATTTATTACATAATAATGTAATTTTTAAAGATAAGAATGTAAAATTTCAGTTAAAAATATATTGTGTATATATATATATATATATATATATATATATATATATATATATATATATACATACTCTCTTGAAGCTAAATTATTCATTTACAATATTACAATTAATATCTCTACAATTTATTTGACTTATATGCAAAATTATATCATGCTACTTTAAATTTTAGTTTAACAGAATCTCCTGGTGAAAATATAGTCACTGGGCAAGTATATGGACAGTCTCTTAATAATGTACCATGTCGAATATGGACTCAAATTTTTGACTGTAAAGATGGAAGTTTTATTGTACGCTACAAAGTTTTTAATACTTGTTCTAACATTAATATTAAAATAAAAATTAAGGGAAAAGAATTACCATTGTCTCATTCAAAAATCAAAGGTATGCATGTATTTTTTATCTTATAAAATCATTTTAAAAGATTCTCTCTTTATTTAAGCTTAATAAGGAAATCTTTCTTTAGGTCCTGTTTATGAGGAGGAATGTTACTGTCCAAATCCATCAATCATTAATTGGCTATATCATTATCAGTGTCGACAAAATTACACTCAAATACATAATGATCTCTCTCCATTTTTGAATATTGACTTTGATAAAATACGCCACAGTATTATCAAAAGATATGATCAACCAACCAGTGTTAGCATTTGTCATTATGTATTGAGATCCAACAGAGTAAATATATTACAAAATATTATCAATCTATAATACATATTTCCATCTATAAATGTCTCAAACTAGATTAAATTAGATTTACAGGCGATGTTATGGTCAATATGTTGGCTTTAAAATATTTATGGATGCTATATTGTTGTCGCTTGCACGTAAAGTGGTATTGCCAGATATTGAATTCTTTGTAAATCTGGGCGATTGGCCGCTCGTCCCTGATACAGGCCCGCTTTATCCTATCTTTTCATGGTGCGGATCTGACAATACGAAAGACATTGTTATGCCTACATACGATATCACAGAATCATCCCTGGAAGCAATGGGAAGGTATAATATACATCGATAATAAATTAATAATCTCTAATTATCATTTTACTCGTGATATTATATTCCTGAAAAATAGGGTAATGTTAGATACACTCTCCGTACAAGGTAACACTGGACTGTCATGGAAGAACAAGACTGAACAATTATTTTGGCGTGGACGTGATTCCAGAAGGGAACGGCTAAATTTAATAGATATTTCAAGAAAGCATCCAGAGCTTTTCAATGTCTCTATTACTAATTTCTTTTTCTTTAGAGATGAAATGGATAAATATGGACCTGTGCAAAACCACGTATCGTTTTTTAATTTCTTTAAGGTGAACATAAGAAAGTTAAAGTCTCTTTATCAAAGTTACATTTTTAAAAATAGTTATACATTTTATGTCATTGCAATATTTGATACAAGTGTATATATAAAGCCCATGTACAGAGTTTAATGCTATATTTTAGTGCTATATTAGTCAAAGAAATAATTATTCTTTTCTATTTCTTCAAAAATGTATTACAATTTTGTAAATTGTACACGCATCGTATATAAAAGCTTTAAAAATGTGAATAGAAATAATAAATACAATATTACAGTTTATACATTCATTAAAGATCAACAAAAAAGAGAAATTAAAATCGTATGTATAAAACTTTGTTAGCAATCTTATATTGAGTCTGTAATAATTTTTTCATAGTACAAGTACCAACTGAATATTGATGGCACAGTAGCAGCATATCGATTCCCATATTTACTTGCTGGAGATTCTTTGGTATTTAAGCAAGAATCCAATTATTATGAATTTTTCTACAAAGATCTTACACCTGGATTACATTATGTACCTGTAAAAAGCGATCTCTCGGATCTTGTTGATAAAATTATATGGGCAAAGGAACATGATGAGGATGGATTGAAGATTGTTAAATCTGCGAGACAATTTGCAAGGGACAATTTATTACCACGTGATATATTATGTTACTATACAGTTTTATTTCATGTATGTGAGAAAGTCTTATTTTAGATATATTTCTTAGGGGTATATTTTTGCCAAATAATATTGAGTTTTATATTTCAGGAATGGAGTAAACACTTAAAGAGTAAAGTTGAGATACTAGATAACATGGAAGAAGTACCACAACCTAATCATTCTTGTCAATGTCATTTTAGCAATTTAAACTTTAAAGATGAGTTGTAAAATTTAATAACATCTTCTTTTTTTAACATCTTTCTATTATTAATTATTACAATGGAAACCAACATTACCATACGAATATCATGTGTGTGCATCGATTTATTAAGATTTCATATCTATCATCACGTATGGGTGTGTATGTACCAAAAATAAAAAAGAAATATAAACATCAAAGACAATTTGAAAAGCAAATAATAATTTCTCTCTCTATTATTTAATGAATTTTTTTTATAACGCACATTTTTTACACACACATACAATAACAATTATTTTCTCGTTTAATATTTTTATTTAATTTAAAATTATGTCGCGAGAACAAGATATATTATTTGTACAATTATCAACATCTTCTTCGAAAAATATTTATAGAATAAATATAGATATATGACTAAATTTCGTCATGCTCCATATTTAATTGTATCGTTAATTATATACGTGTAATATCGGAAAGTATATTTTATATATACATTCCACACATTATATCGATTATGAAATTAAACTTGATATAAATTGCAATGACAACGCGCAAAAAATTGAAACAAATTATCTTCTTACATGGTATATTTGTACCATTGCATTGTAAAATTCTCTTTCACTTTTTATTTATATTTATTTTTTAGTTGTACGAATAAAAAGTTATGTATATATTTATAATAAAAATAAAATTTTTGAGGTTTATTTTTTTTACTATAGTTAAAAAAAAACAGATATAAAAAATTACAAATCTAATGATGATGGATATCTATATTATTATTTGTGTACACGGATAATGAAACAAAATATCAAGGAACAAATACGTATACGTTTTTCAGATTAAAAGTTTCGCTACAAGACAAGAGTCGCACAAGTCATTTGGCATACTTCTCATCTCAGAGAGATCATTTAGTAATGATGAATTTAATATAAAAACGAAATTGTTTTTCTTTTTTTAATGTAACTTGAATTATATATGTATACATGTAAACAAAATTATATATAAATTACACAAAATTATATATAAATATAAACAAAATTATATATAAATTACTATAGATTATACCACACATTAAAATATATATGTAAATACTGAAAAGTGTCGATAGTTTTAATTTAAGTTCAATTGTATTATTTATTATAGTAACTCCTAAATTTCAATTTATACATAATTTTTTGTTCCAAGTATTTATTTTATCATAATGTTAGAGATGTGTATACGTTAGAGATTGAATTATATAAAGTTCTCCATACAATTTCTTCTAATCTCATCACTGGTGGAACTCTTTGTATTCACGTTAATATGGATATCCACAATATCTATAATAATATTACGAATTTACATTAATAAAGTATATTGGCATACGCAATAAAATGCAAATGATAACGTAAATATTCTCAATATGTACATTAACTGAAGATTTTTTGCGAATTTAGAAATTAATATATTTTATTGTGTGGGTGGTTGATAACCATAACCTCCATACTGGTTAGGTGGTGGTGGCCCTTGTGGTCCTGGTGGAGGAGGCATGTGTCCACCGGGTGGTCGTGGAGGATACTGTGGATATCCTTGACCTGTTGGCGGCGGAGGGTAACTTTGAGGAGGATATTGTGGATGTCCATAGTGCGGTTGTCCTCCTTGCGGTGGATGCGGGCTATAAATCTATAATTTTAATATAGATAATGAACAGAAAAATAAATGCATTATTTAATATCTGTATCTGTATACCATACAATACTTTTTCTAAATAAATAAATAAGTATAAAATATAAAAAAATTATATAGCGCTTATATAACTTATGTAATAATATAAATATTTTTTTAATCAAGATATAAAGAATTGCAAACTACATGTAATGTAATTCCAGCGACATATGCATTTTAATGAATCTCATATTATGAAGCAAATAATAAATGTAAATGTTTAAATCCTTGAGTGTTTAATGTATTCGAGTATAATATAGAATACTTGAACAATACCTGCGGTTGCCCTCCTGGTGTCGGTGGAACGTACGTTTGCGTAGTAGTGGGTCCATAAGCGGGTTGTTGCTGAGGACCGGGTGGTGGGGCGGGACCTTGCGGCGGGCCGGATGGTGGTTGAAATCCACTCGGGGCTGGACTTTGAGACGGCTGCTGTTGCGTCTGTGAAGCTGTTTGTGACTGTTGCTGAGATTGTTGCGATGGCTGATGCGGCGATTGATGAGAGGGCGGTTGATGCGAGGATTGATGCGATGGCTGATGAGGTGGTTGATGCGGAGTGTGCGGTGGCTGATGAGGTGATTGATGCGGTGGCGGCGGATGCGGGGGATGCGACGTCGGATGAGGTGTTTGATGAACGGAATATCCAGAAGGGGCCGGCGGAACCGGGGGTGCATAGCTTCCACCCTGCGATGTTGGCGGCGGACCGCTACTCGGCGGATATGTCTGCGTCGAGGCAGACGGCGTGCTTGTCGGCTGACTGCTCTGAGCGTAAGTATTGCCGCCGCTCGCGGAGGAAGTACTAAATGGCGGAGATGTAGAAACGGGACCGTACTGCGTTGCACCAGGACCTGGGCTCGGTTGGCTAACGTAGTTGGGCTGCGGACCCGCATTTTGCTGAGATCCAGGTTGAGGAGGTTGAGTCGCGCTAGTTGTCGGAGGTGGTGGGTAATTTTGCGGCGGAACATTATTCGCGTATGCCTGTGAGGATGGAGGGGGATAATTTCCAGGTTGTCCAGCGGCGTATGCATTTTGAGGTGGCGCTTGGGACGGAGGCTGTTGATAATTTGGTTGCGGACTAGGGCTACCATATTGTCCTGGTTGTTGTTGTTGTTGACTACCTGATGAGAAATTTTGCTGCGAAGCATTAGACGGCGGATAGCCTTGCTGATTTGGCGGTGGTGGTCCATATCCGGAAGGTGGCTGAGTCGTGCCCGGCGGTGGATAACCACCTGGTTGCGGACCATAGCTGTTCACTGTAGTCGGAGGACCGTAATTTGGCTGCGTCGCCGCGCTATATCCTTGTTGCTGAGAAGCATTTGGCGGTCCGTATTGATTCGGTTGACCAGGAGTGTACGCGGATCCTTGAGGTCCTTGATAATTAGAGCCAGGATTCTGATTGGCGTATTGAGCAGGATAACCTTGCTGAGAAGGTTGTTGGGGATAACCTTGCGGTCCTCTATATTGTTGCGGACCTGGTGCAGTTGGAGGTCCTGTTAACAAATTAAAACAAATCAAATGATAAAATATTACTAATCTCAAACATCCAGTCTGAAATTATATTTCAAATTTCATATAATATGTAATTACGAATCTGAAATAAAGTTAAATTAAGTATGAACAAAATTTCTATCGAAAAGTTTATTAAACTTAAAGTAATGTACTATTTATGGTAGGTCCTTGACCAGGCATCACAGGCCCACGATAACCTTGCGCTATTGGTTGGCCTTGATTAAAACTCGACATTGGCATAGTTGGCTGAGTATTCGGAGTCATCTCTCCCCCAGGACCAGCCGAAGCACCTGGACCGCTTGGAAGCCCTTGCGGATTCATCATAGCATGCTGAGGACCATTGGGGATAGAACCTTGAGGTAGCTTAAAACAAAAAGTTAAAAACGTGTTGCAAAAATTTTATTCAACTATGCAATTTTATTGGATTAAATGTTTTTTTACTTATTTTTATTGCATACTTTTTCTTTTAAAATTTATCGCTTACAGGTAATAAAGTTTGAAGATTCTGATTCACATCTGCGATAGATGCTAAATATACCAAGTTGCGATGTAGCATTTGCTGATATCTGAAAATGAAGTCTAATAAATATCAAATTTAAAAGAAAAGGATTGCTAAAGGAATGTATTTTTTTAATACTATAAAAAATAATTAATAGCCATTATATTGAAGTAAGAATAAAATATTTAATTCCTATAGTCATATATCGAATAATCGGTACAATTCATGCAGCTTTTGTAATAGGGAATGCAGCGAAAGGTTATACAAACTTTTTTTATTAGCTGTTAATACAATGTTGTTTCATAAACAATGACGATTTATTTTCTAAGATGAAAGAAGAATGTATAGAATGTATCTGAAAAATACTGTACTGTATTATCGTTAATTATTACTTACTGTACACATTCCTGTACTTTGCCTTTATTTTGATACTCTTGAATCATTTGTATAAGTTGGCTATTCTCGTCGAGCATCTAAAGAAATGTGCATGTGTATGTGTATATATATATATATATATTTATAAAATGTATTTATAAAATTTATAAAATATATATATAAAATAAATATATATTTGTGTGTGTGTGTATATATATATTATATATATATATATATATATATATATATATATATATGCATGCATACACACACACACACCAATTTTCACAAACGGTGCAATTTATATATTATTTTTCTTATTATACAATACAGTTAATGATTATTAAATTATTTATAATAACAGCATTTTATTCCAAAGCTTTGGTCAATTCCTTTACCTTCTGTATTTGAGCAGGATTTGGAGGTGGCCTACCACGTTGAGCAAAGGTCACAGACATGTTCAAAGCAATTCACGATTTGTCTCTTTGATGAGAAAAATCGACACAATTCGAAGAGGTTCTCTTTCACGAGGAATTATCTAAAAACACTTCACGTCCATTGTCGTTGTATTTTCGAAGCTATACTCTGTTATACTTGTCGCGATACGCCACGAAATTATCCGAAAGTGCAAAAATTATTTACGTGATATTACCGAAGATCTAGCAAATTGATCGACCCGCGCGTTAACAAACACAGCTCGTCGTATACATAAAGTGTATTCCTGTTATAATACGGCTTACGCGCGATTAGCAATTATCGCCAATTTACTCTGCAAAATATGTATCCAATTTCGGGAACGAGAGAGACGAGAGATATCATTTCCGAAATAGAGCTTGGGAAAGCAACGCCACTGACGGCGAACATTAGCGAACACCAAAGCTCGCGGTATTTTCTTTGATACTGTCGAGAGATAAACAAATAATAATAAACAAACTATTATATATACTACACACACACACACACACACACACACATACATTAAATTTTAATAAATACATATATTTAGAAAAGCTACATATATTTAAAAAATTATTATAATAATTATAGCGATTGAGATTATGCGCATTCGCACATTGAATTGCGTTCGAAAATCTACTCGTCGGGTAGCATCGAGTGATTTTCGATTGACCAATTAGAATAGAGAAATCTTTGCGAATTGTGGGCTCGAGAGCGCCTCTTTGGACCACGTTCCGACCACAGCCAATTATATCGACTTGTACCTAGGGTAACCAGCAACGATTAACCAATCAGAGAGTCCTATTTTGAATTAACCAATTGGCGACGTGATCAATCAAATCCCACTCGTGGGCTCGGTTGCGGTTGAAATTGACCAATCAGAACAAAGCAATTTGTTGGGCGGCTACTCTGATTGGTCAATTCCAACCGCAACGGAGCCAGCAACCTAGGGCCCTATTCTTGAAATCGTGCGAAAAATTATCGTATATGAAAATGACGCGCGATCTTTGGTGTATATTTTTAGATCTAAGAGTATACACGAATCAAAGATCGCGTAGCGTCACTTTTGCACTTTTGCGATAATTTTTCGCACGAAGAATAGGGTCCCTGGTCTAATTTAAAAAATTTTACGCACTATTTATGTACGAGTCGTACGAAGTGACGGGTATATATATATATATATATATATATATATATATATATATACGTCTGCGAATTTTGCGAGAAAAAAGATGCTTATATTAAAGATAGGGAAGTTAATATAACATGTAAAAGTAATAAATGTCATCCTTGCAAAAAGAACAAAAATCCAGCATTCTAAATTTATGCTTTATCATGTTGATATAACTACACGTATGTACACATGCAAATGGCTTCGGCAAAGGTAAGCAATTATTTTATGCTCGTTTCTTAATTATCAAATTATTTTACATTATTGGCAAACTAAAGTACAATATTGTCAAATTTATAGGATTATATATATAATCTCTCTCATTTCTTTCCACAGATTGAGTTTGCGGTACATATGACATGCGAGAAATGTGTCGACGCAATTTCTAAGAGTGTATCGGATTTAAAGGGTATTCGAAATATTGATATTTCATTGGAACGCGGCACCGTTATTATTGAAACGGACCTACCTTATTTTATCATTCAAGAAAGGATCGAACAGACTGGAAGGCAAGCAGTGTTGAAAGGATACGGAGGTTTAAACATATTTTTTATCAATTATTTATTTATTCTGTTTTATTATTATTATTATTTAAAAAAATTTGATTCTATGTAACTTTTATAGATGGATTAAGCGCTGTATCAATGTTGGGTGGGAATTCGGGATACAGTGTAGAAAATTTAATCAAAGGTGTAATAAGATTTGCGCAGACTCCACAAGGATGTATTATAGATGGTACGGTTGATGGATTGACATTGGGAGAGCATGGTATGCATATACACGAATGCGGCGATATATCTAATGGCTGTGATAGGTAAGTCAGTTTTACAAATAAAAAATTTTTAGATAATCTGAGCAAATTTTATTGTTATCGTAGTGTAGGTGAACACTTCAATCCAAACAATTCCCCACATGGCGCTCCTGAGAATGATCTGTCAGAGAGGGTAAATATAAAAAATTATGTAAATTCTATGTATGTGCCACATATACAAGTTTTTTAATGAAATCTATAATTGCAGCATATCGGTGATCTTGGTAATATCTTAGCAGATGCTACAGGTAGAGCTACTTTTCGAAAGATAGACAGATTCCTTAAAATATCTGATATCATTGGGAGATCGCTCGTTGTTACCAATGACCCTGATGATCTAGGGAAGGGTGACAATTCAGAATCCAAAATAAATGGAAACAGTGGAATTAGGTATAAATGGAAGAAATTATTACATATTATTATATTATCACAGAAATTTGACCATTACTGTTTTAAATTAAATTTTCTTTTCTTGTACAGGCTGGCTTGTGGTATTATAGCCAGATCTTCTGGATTATTTCAAAATACAAAAAAAATTTGTGCATGCGACGGTCTTACAATATGGGATGAAAGAGATCGAGCCCTTGCAAATCATGGTATTAAAAGTTACGCAAAATTGAATGAAAAAATATGCATAATACTTTGAATATCTTAGGAAAAAGAGAACTGTTCTTAGAAATTTAACTATGCATCAAAATTTGTCACGTTCTATTTATTATTAGTTTTAAAAATCTCTCTTGCATTAATTATATTACTAACTAATGTTATTAATATAATTATATTCTAATTATATTAATAATATTTAATAGTTACAACTTGCATTACACTTTGTGTAATTTTTTCAAACTTTCACATATTTATAAACTATCAAATAGTAATTAATAACTTGTAACAATTTTTTCAAAAATAATTTAATTTGATAAGATAATTTATATATATTACTTTTCCTTCTTTTCAGCAAATTTGTAATTAATGTAACGTGTAACAACTGATCTAACAAAAAGTGATAACAAAAAATACATTCCATATTCAGAACATTGGAGGAATAAAAATAAATATATTTTTAACTTTTCGATACTATTATCATATATGTGTATATATATATACACATACATATATACTTTTATTTATTTGAATCCCCTTCATGTGCTGTCAAATTATAATCGTACATATCGGTTTTACGTATTATGCAAGTTTTTAAATTTTTTCTCCGTCATTTGATATATAATCTATCCTGTTTAAAAATTCAACGTATGGCTGCGCATTATGCGCGGAAAATCTATAATATATGTAATGTAAACTATAAACTTTCTGCGCATAAGGCATGAGACGGAACGCGTCCCATGTATATATTGTCATTTCAAGTCTAGCAGCCATTGGTAATTTGTAATTTATCATGGCGTCATGATAAATATGCGCTACTATTTACCGTGACATGTGTATATTATATGTAAAAATACGGTCAAAATCAAGCGACAAATTAAAAATTTTTAAGTAAGTTATATATGGCATTAAATAAGAGTATTATAATTTGTGTAGAAATAATCTAGAAAACGATAATTGAACAAAGAAAACGTCAAAAAATATATCTCTTAAGGTTAGATTCAGTATCGAAAAAATATGATAGGTAGAAATAAGGGAAAAACAAATTTGAAGGAGTAAGTGAATATTATTATAAACACGAATAATGTATAATATTTGTTTTTTTTTTTTTACAGAAACTTATACAATTCAACGTGAATATAATTTATGCGAGTAAAACATTAAGCTCAATTACCTTTTGAGAATGGGGATTCCTGGATTAACAACATATATATCCAACCATTCGGAGGATTATCTTGAGAATTATGCTCTACGCGATACTTATTTAGTAATTGATGGGAATAGTATAGGATGTCAATTGTATAATTGGCATGCGAGATGTAACTGCGTCTTTGGTGGTGATTATGACAAATATGCGCAATGTGTAGCAGATTTTTTTAATGAACTCTCCATGTGTAATGTCACTCCGTTGGTCCTAATCGATGGTGGTTGCGAAGACAAAAAGCTACAGACGGTCATATCTCGAACTAACGAAAAAATTGGAATAGCGTCGCATTATACACCGCACTCTCAACAGAGAACCAAATTCTTTCCTCTACTTATGAAAGAAGTGTTTAAAGATGTCATGAAGGAAAAAGGCGTCAGGTATACGCAATGTATATTTGAAGCTGATAACACTATAGCCGCAATAGCACGTATTCTCAAGTGTCCTGTATTGAGTTACGACTCTGATTTCTATATTTATGGATCGCTGTACATACCATTTGATACATGGGAAAATAATGTAATCCCTAATCCGGTAACTCGCGGTTACATGAAACTTTGCAAGATTTATTATCCGGAAAAGCTTTTCCGAATTTACAACGGTTTGAATCAATCTTTGTTGCCTCTGGCAGCGATATTACTGGGAAATGACTATGTAAAACAACATACGTTTCGAAATTTTTTTCGTCACTTAAAATTACCACGAACAGGAAGAAAAAAGTACAATGAGCAACAACGACGTATAGATGCTACATTTAATTGGCTACGAAGATACAGCTTAAATCAAGCTGTAATAGGAATACTAAGTAGATTACGGAAACGGGATCGCAAACACGTATTAAATATAATAGAAACGATAATAAATGGTTACACTAGCGCTTCATTGAGCGTATTACATATACTAAATGTTCCTCCAGAGAATTTTTCAAGAGCAAATATACTGGATGCATTTAAAACGTACAAATTTGAAGGCGATATATATAATCTGACATACATTGACGAAAAATCGAACGAAGAAAATCTAAGTGACGACGATAACGAAACAGACGAAAAAGAAATAACAACCATACTCGAGGAAAGAAAGGTGATTTCTAATGAATCACTGGTCAACAATTTGCCTCAGTGGTTTATTAATGAATTCAAATTGGGCAGATATCCTTCTTATTTCATAGACATAATAATACGGAAACTATATGTTTGTGCCGCACAAGTCGAAAATTATTTATACGTTTCATCTATTGTTGCAAGTTTAAAAATTATAAGCGTTATTTATAGATTATTGATATCGGGTATTGAAGGAAGAAGGACTTACATGGAATATATGACTAGGGATGAGAATAGGAAGATAAAGCGTTATCAGTTAGAATACAATGATAATATATTAGGGTGTACATTACCATCTTTATTTAATTTAAGAGAACTACCGATTATTATCAGAAGACAAATTTTAAATGTCACATTGGAAATTATCGATGAAAATTGTATGAAGGAAATTCCATCAAACTGGACGTTATATATCGCGACCATCAAGTATTGGATAAATCAACAACAAGAACCACTTAAATTCAGTTGTCATATATACTCCTTATTATTTGCTATGTTATTTAACATAATAGATCACAAAATAGGCCCGTATAGAAATTTAAACAGATTCTATCATAGATTCAATAGAACTGTCGAAAATATTAAATATATGAGAAAAATGAGAAACTATCGTCCACAATATTCAATCGATACTACATTAATAAATGCATTTAATGAAGTTAATGAGGATGATTGCTTGCTTGCAGCTTCATTTTTTGTATCAAATTTCGAAATTGATCAAAAAGTATATCTGCACCCAAAACGATTCAATATTACAATTGTTCATGGTTTTGCAGAATTTCAAAATTGTTTAAGACATAGTATGAATTTGAATGCATTATTGGGATATCCGTATGAACAAACTAAAGTTGCTAATATGTTTAATGGTACATTACTGTATAATTTGTGCAGCAATTTTAAAAGACGCGATGACGTTGAAGTTTATATTAATACAATTTTTCAAAATTCTCCGAGTTTATCGCATCTATTTAATATACTCTTATTAAAAGTCAAACCTCTGTTTAATACAGCATTGGAAAAGAAAGCCAGTAAATGTAAAAAGCAAAAGACAAAAAGAAAGTGTGAAAAAAACGATTCTACTACACAGGAAGAAGATCATGAGAAAGAAGCTGTAAACGCATGTGAAAGTACCAGTGAAGAAATCTTTTATGATGTAAATAATTCTTTTTCTATCCTTGGTGCTACGCAACATTAAATCTTTTTATTGTGATTAAATTGCACCTGTACATATATCACAATTATGTATTTATAATTTATATGTACCTTTTACAAATAAAGATAAGCAAATTTATACATAAAAAAAAAACTTTTAATCTTTCTCTTTATATGAAATTTTCGATAGAATGTGAAGAAACTTGTCTATTGATACATAATATATAAACAATGTATATGTATTGGATCTATTACAATAGGATATAAAATGATTTAACATCTCTCTCTCTCGATGTTTAATTTTTACAAGAAAAAAAATCTATATATCCTCACTGCTGTTAGTTTCATCGGTATTAGAAGAACTTGCATAATCCTTTCGTTTCTGGCGTGGCATTGATCGCTTAACATCGGTCTTTTTCTTTTTTCTCACGTTACGTAATCGGTTATTCTAAACGAATAGCGAAAGAAGACGAAATGATGCAAGAGTCGTGCGATATAAAGATTAGGATAAAAAAAATGATATTTGTATTACATTCTTATATATTTCCCAGAATGCGCTGATAGCTGTTTTGGCAGTATTAGCCTCCTCTCGTAAAGTCGGTATATAATATTGATCGTCTCCGTGTTTGGCGACAAGTCCGACACAAACAGCATATTTCAATTTTTCCTGCAATTCTTGCTCGAGAGCTTCGAAATTTTTATCAACTGGATAATGTCTTTGTATAAAATCTTTTAAATTTTTCGATTTAACAAATATTTGACGTTTTTGTAACTCTTTTACAGCTGTACGTAGCATTTGAGGCGTTATAGAGATTTTCTCTTTCTCCATCTAAATAAAAGATGTAATTGTATAATTTGTAAAAATATATACACACCAAATTGACAAATTATATTTTCAAAATATTTCACATATTTAAATGAAACTCGAAAAATTATTTATTTACATTATGAATCTCTTTCTATCGTGTATCTATTTTTTTCATTAAAGATATATATAGATAATATTAACACAATAACGCTATATAAAACCTATAATTACCTTCAGCGATTTTCTTAGAAGAAAATATGTAAAGATTTGTCAATAGAATTAGAATTATATTAAGGAAATAGTTTTGTAACATTTGAATTTAATAATTTGTCCACGAGATGTATGTGTGTGTGTAGTGAATCTGATGATGATTATTAGAAACGTTGGTATTAATAAAACTATATATCATTTGAATGTTTGTTAAACTATATTTATATATTTTATTGAATTTAAAGTTTCTTCAAAAATTACATAAATATGTTTATTGACTGAAAAAAAATTGTAGATAATTATGTTATAATATATATCAGGTGGATAATGTCAATTGCGAATAATTATGAATATAATGTCAAATATAAAGTGCATAGATTCTTTTATATACAAGTTTGGTACTATTGCTATCGTCGAGATATCACATGAATAAGCTTATTGTTAGCGCGATAAATAAAATAACAGCATAAGCTCTGTATTGGAGTTTTAAAGAAAATTTGTATTAATATTACGTAAACAAAATATATTTTATGTTATTTCCTCCAACGCGAATTAACTTGATAACAATTTTTACATAAAACATATAACAATTTACTGTAAGATATATTATATTGTAAATTTGATATCGCATTGAAATCAAACTACAATATGCTACGTTGTATTGTATATTAATACAGAATTAAATATAAGATTTATAATAAATTAACTACAAAAGACGAATATTTTTACATAACAATCATACGATTATATTACAATTTGGTACTGGCGGGTTGCATAAAAATTAGATTAGTAATTAAAGAGTACTACGTCTCTTCCCACATTAATTAAGCCCTATATACAATATAAGCTCATATAGACTGTTAGTATTTCCTGCATTTGACATCTTGCATTTTTGCAACTATGACAAAATACCATTGCACTGAATCTACATTGCGTGGATTCTTAATATTTTCTAATATTTTACTTCTACATAGACGAATGTGTTTCATAAATATTGTTTTAAAATAAAAATCATTATATCTCTCCCGATATGATTTGCTTTACCACGATCATGAAATAGTATCAACACCACGTTCTGCGAGAGTTGTAGAACAGACAAACCATTGATATACATAATTCAAGTGAGTAACATAAAACAATATTACCAAATTCTTCAACCCTTAGCAGGATTATTGCTCCATACGCTTATAAAGTATTGCACCAAGAAAACGATAATAATAATAAGTATAGTATCCATGAAGCTCTTAAACATACTTATGTTGTGATGCTGTTCACTGGACTCTCTTTGTTTCTTGCAAACTTGTTCTACAATTTGTTGTATACGATTTAGTTTTTCACCATGTTCTAGCATTTGAGTCTCTACTTCCTTCATAATAATTATTAATCTAAAAAGAATACATTTATGTATATACTCGTGTGTGTGTGTATGTGTATATATATATATATATATATATATATATATATATATATATATATGATATTATAAGTAACTGTGTACTATGTATAAAAGTTTTGTATAGATTATTATAAATATGTACTTTTTATTACATTTAAACGATCCTACCTAGCAGTCGAGCGTCTTCTTTTTCCTAATGATTGACTAGAATCGGTATGTGCCTCTGCGGACGAGCTCCCAGAATCATGAGCTGTCTCTGACATAGGCATGTTATTAGACAATTGCCTCTTTGAAGACTTGAGTACTGATAAGGATGAACGTGACTCAGCTTGTAGTAATGGGATCTGCAACGGTTATTATTTGCATATAATTTGAATTAATTGCAGGTTTATATATACATGTATATATGAATAATAAATAATATATTTTCTAGAAGTTTAAGATTTTGACAACATGAGAGAAAATATCTTCTTTTTACATTTTTACATACAATTAAAGAATTTTTTTAACTAATAATTCTTGAAATTCTCGTTTTTTTTCTCTTGCTTTGATAGACAAACTATTCAATATCCAAGCTAAACAAATGCTTTCTAGATGCTTATTAGATATTAAATAAATGTATATGTGCGTATATGTTGATTATTATACAAATAATGGTACACAATTGAATTAAAAATGAAATTATTTACAATGACCTAATAATTACACTTAAATGAATTAGGATATTAACTGAAGAAAGATGAAAATCTTATGAGAAATGTTAAGAATTGATATAATAAACAGTGTAATAAAAAGAAAAAGCAAGATTAGCATTTTTTCATTAACATATTGCACAATTTTTCATGCATTTCTTTGTTCATTGTCAAGTTTATTTTTGCCCTTTGCTTTTTGTTAGATTCTCGATATAATCCTTTAAGTTACATTCCTTTTCTAATGAAAGCATATATCATATGATATATGTAAATTGTTATTTCAGAAAAGATCACAATATGTGTAAGACATTTAAAATTATATAGAAATTTAAATACAAAAAAATTATGTAAATTTTTACTGAAGTCTTTCAAGATATATGTATATTTAAAACTTACTTTGAATGGTGTTAAATTCAGATTTTTCAAACTTGTATAACTTGTGCAAACTTATATAATGTAGAGTTTAAAACTAAATAAATATATCACTCTACAGAAAAACAATGTTAAATTAATTAATAAATACACTTCCTTTAGACTAACAAACTGCAAGTCGAGCAAAATATATTTATTACAAATATCGAAAATGTATACAGTCTATTCAAATCCATTGATAGCAAATAATAGCAAAGATAAGATGTAATAATATATGTAATTGCTCAGTAGCACTGTCGAAAAAATAAAGAAAAACCACAAAGCAATTAAAAATAATGTTACTTATGTATACTTATATATACGTATACAAATGTTAAAACAGCATGCAAATTAGCTCTTACATCGCTGTACCTGTGATTGTGGTTCAGTAGATACAATACTACCAGTACGCATAATAGGTGTTTTATGCCTTGTCTTTGTACGTACTATATAATTCTCTTCATATTGTACTACATCATTTCTTGGATCCCACGGTCTTACATCGGCATGCCGATAGACCCAATTTCCCGTAATAATATCCTAATAGGAAAAATTATTTCATTATTTCATCAACATCACATATTTGCCAGAATAAACGTACTTGTACAAAAAATTTTGGAATCCATTCTTGTCCGAGACTTTTCCTCTCTTTAGCACGTTCCCTTTGTGCTTCCTCGAGTCGAGTTTTAGCTTCAGTAGCAGCAAGCTGATCATCTCTATTAATAGCTTGTGTAACAGCATACCACAATTTTTCACTTTCCCATTGTCCCTGATATTCCAAAGGAACAGTGTATTTCTTCAACCTTTTCTTGCGTACTTCCGGAGTTGGATTGAAAAATATATTTTCCTGCTGTAAAATAAAAAGATATGTATTAATAATAATAAGCTAAGAATATTATCGATCAAGACTTTTCTTACTCCTGTTCGTTTGTCCGTTATTAAAATCAGCCCATCCCAATATCCCGATATAGTAGCTAGAGTTTCCTTCCCTAAACGTATTCGTCCTACAACTTGATTCATCATTTCTGCACCACCGAGAAATGGCTAAAAATATTATTTTATTGTTATATATTTTTAATAATTTAATAATTTTAATAATTTTAATATTTTAAAATTTCTTAAATTATATATATATATATATATATATATATATATATATAATTTTTTTTTATACGTTTATGCAATTTTATCGATATATAATTTTGGCATATTGTGATATAATATAATACTAGATTGTTACCTTGAGTTTAAATTCCAATTCAGTATGATAGCCGGTTTTCTCGCATATTATGTTCACTTTTCCACCAAGTTCCATAGACAAAGTTCCCATAAGAATACCTTTACAATGTGCATAAGGAATTGTCATGGTATAATCTTCACCTCTCGGTAGCATTGTTAATACAGCAACACCATCTAAAACTGCAGAGGTTGAATTCCCTGTAACAAAATTTGTACTTTAAGTTATATCGTTACTGAATAGAAGTATTAATACCTGATATCACCTCATTTTTTATTAAATACTTGCCATAAAATTTAGACTTTGCAATAATTGTAGCGCTAATAGTAAATCCATCTTGACGATTTGTCACATAAAATCCTGAGATGGGTGGATGATGCGATAACTAGCAAAAACATTTAAACGCATGCGTTAAAATAGAACATAACATATTATAAAACACAATATATACATATAAAAAAAATAAATTTTATATATAGATTGTAAATTAATAAAAGTCTGTTATTAAAAGCAAGAAAGATTTTGCGATATTTTGACAATAGAGACAACATAGAGACAAATTGTTCCATATTGTTAATATTAAATATTTTTTGGAGATTGTTACTTGTTCAGCCAAATAGAATGTTCTTGAACCATTAGGATGTTGCCAATAGCAACGGAATGTTTCGCCTAAAAGCGGATTATATGGCTTTTTCAGACCTTGTGGTTTCTTATAAAATCCCGATAAGTACCATTTTACTACAGCCTTCATGCGTGTAAATGCATCATCCTCCAACACTGCTCTGTGAAATGAAATAAAGTTTAGAAATTTAGATTTCTTATGTGGTCTAAAACATACAAGTCACAATTGAAATATGTTACATTACTAACTGAGATAATAAATCCGCGTGATAATAAGAATCAGCCAGTTTTTCCAAAAATGAACGTGGTTCCAAAATAAAAGTTGGCAATACAACCTTAGATAAATCCATGCCAGGACGTACTTGTTTCATTAAAAACCATATCAAAGATTTTTGCTCTTCTTGTAGCTCCGTAACAACTTCACCGGCCTAATTATTAATATAACGATACAATACAGAAGTAAATATACAAAATATGTAAAATTTATATATGCATCAAAAGATCAAAATGTAACAAATTATAAACATTTCGTAAGAAATATTTATTTTTCCATGTGATATATGTTTGTTTTAATAAAAAATTATATTACATTACACTTACTGTTCCAAGAACTTCGTTTTCATTGGAAACGTATGGCGTTTCAGTGATCGGCTCTGACGATTGATCTTCTTTGGCCGATGCCTCAGACTCGCTATCCGAAGCACTGATTTCAGCATCAGCTGCTACTCCATTCTCCGGCTGACTAATATCGTCCAGGTCTGTACGTGAGATGTACACAGGATCTAGCGTTACTACTTGACGGGTATCGTACTCTAAGACATATACAGAAGGAACATTCATGCTATGCGCTGGAGAGATTGGCAGGTGAGGTGCAGAAGCAGGAAGACTTGAAGAACCAGATGGCTGATTATCACCATTATCTGGTTCTTCATTGGAAATCAGAGACACAACATTTTCCTGATCTGTGCTAGGTGTCGAAGATCGTTCAAGTAACTGTTTTTCCCAATAAGCGACCGCATGATAAAGCTGTTGGAACATGGGAGTTGGTGAAGGACAAACACTCCTAGGATTACGAATTATAGAGGGAGAGAATGTCTGCGGACACGATAACAAGCGCCTTTGTGGTGTTGTAGGCGTACGCGGAGCATAACGGTTTAAATATACTAGTAGCGCAAAAAGCAGGATAAGAGATTAGGTTGATAAATAGAAAGGGAAAAGTAATAGTAAACAATCATTATTATATAATTTTTTAAACTTAACTACTTAAAAATCTTAATTTTATATACTAGAATCTTTATAAAGCAAGATTTAAATATATGTTTTGTAGAACACATTAAAATATTTCTGCCCTATGAATGTGTATTCGGTATGAATGTATCAAATCTTAATAACAGTTTTTTGAAGTTTTATTGAGACACTAAGAGTTTTTAAACTCTTCAGCAATCAAGAGCAATCAAAAAATAATTTTCTGTAATTCAAAGATTATAAAATAGATAATAAAATTTTATTTTCCGTTTATTTTATGTAATGTATAGTTTTTTCGATAGATTATACTCGAATGCAATTTAATTAATAACGAGACTATGTAATACTGCACCAATGAAAAATATGACATTAATCTATATCTCTTTTACTGGCAATTTACATGGATAAAAAGAGATTTAAAATATATCATATTTATATCACATACGAATGTGTATAAATTTTTATATTAAAATTTTCATCGTGATTTTTGTTTGGTTATACAAAACTTGAAAAGAAATATAAGCATCTGAAACCAATTACTTTCAATAGCATTGCAAATTGACAAATCGCCATACATCATTACAGATTGTACTTTTTAGACAACATATTTTTCTAATTCATAGTCGTCTTCATGAATTCAATTCCCTATTTATACTGTTTCATCAAAAATCTCAATTGATATTCTTCTTTTGTTTTGTTATATACATAAGTAATGCATTATATTGAATACTTTTTAATAATAAAAATATAACATTTTTCATATTAGATTTTAGTTATAATAAAGAAAAATTTATATTTTTATGTAGCAATCGACAATAAAATGTGACTGTGCACACAGAAATTTATACACACACACACATAATATTAATACATACATACATACACACGTACACACGCGCGCGCGCGCGCGCGCGTTTTCCCTTTTCTCAGAGTTAAATTTAAAGGAAATAGATTTTTCTTCGATAAAAGTAGAAAATACAAACGCATAATAAAATATTTTTCAAAAAAAAATAAAATCAAAATTGGCACACAAGAGCCACAGCTCTGTGGTTCTTATAGGCCAATTTTGGTTTAATTTTTTATTTACTTGAGCCAAATTCCTAACTATTAATATTTTTCTACATTGTATAAGATAGAATCTAGTTGTATATTGTATAAGAATAAAGTTTTAATAACTTATCTCAAATTAATTAATCTATATATGAAAAAATATACAAATACATATAAAAAAAATCTAGAGCATCCTGTACATATGTTATTTGTCACAGCTGGATATTTTATTTTATAAAAATTTTGTCTTAAACGTAACGTATTCCATTATACTTAAATATCGCGAGTAGGAAGCTTTGTCAATGATACTAACCATGGTCATCAAAGTGTTTTTCATAATCAGCTTCGCTCCATTGGGTCTCATGAGTGGTCGTCGTATCGTGTAGTAAAGGACGTGGTAGTGCGCTCGTCGAGCGCACTATTAACGAAGAACAACGTAACGATAATTCAAGTGCATCTAACCAACATTTGCCTGCCGCTTGGGATGGCGCTCGGAAGATTAAGTAAGATGTTGGCAAAGGTTGTACAACAGCACCTAAGGAATATTAAATTGTTGGTAATTATAAAGCTAAAATTATTTTTTTGTGAAATGTTAAATATCTATTAACAATTTAAAGAAAATTAGATATACTTTATTAATATAAAAATTTGTATAAAAATCAAATATTATTATTTAAAAACATAAACCAATTCAATTTAGCAGTAAATAAATAAGAAAAGCAATCTTACATATCTCTAACATATGTATTAATATCCGAGATATAATAACATACCAATAGCTTCTTTTTCTGGTCCTCGAGGGGCCCATATAGATTGTTCCAAGGGATGAAATAATTTAAAACAAAACCCGTCTTTCTTACTCGGACGTTCTATGACTTGACATGTATTAAGTAATACAGTTCCCACCCAATGGTTACTCTGTAATAAAGATATAAAGCGCAGTTACAAAATGAAAATATATATGGCAAATATATATATAACTGAAGAAAAATGAAAATATAAACCTTAGTTTTTGGGCTTTTGTATAATAACAATAATCCAGGTTTCAGAATACACCACAACTTGGTCCAACTTTTCAATGTGCCACGAACTTTTAACCAATCACTCATAACAATAACAGTCGGGTCTTTAAAAGAACTTAAAAGTTCGTTTGCCACTCTTTTCTTTTCCATTCGATAATTTTTTCTCTGGGCCTTATACGATTCCTTTCGCGTTAATTTGCAAGAGTCCAATGACTGAAAACATTATCAAAAGATTTTATATATTTTATAAATTAGAAATAGATTATATTTATCGTATTTGAAATGATAAAAATGCAAAGTGTGTCCATTTTTCAATTTTGATTATATCTTTAAAAAAAAATTGAAATATAAAAGCCATGTATTATATTTATGTTTCACGTTATACATTGAACATGAGAGTGCTAATTACGATAGTTTTGTGTGACAATTATTGTTACGACTGAAAACAAGAAATTACCTTGTCTGATGAATTATCGACTTTTTGACCTTCACTCATTCCTGAAAGTCCTATAACATATGCAATTTTGCATTATTTTTTAGTAAAATAAATTTTATAAAACCATGATCAGATGATCAGCTGAACATTAAGACTAGAAAAATTATAGAACGTACAATAATTTCTAGAATGATATATGTATAGAATTTATATCTAAATTCTCTCTTAATTAAATTGTTAAAATTTTAACATATTTAAAACTAGTTTTTTAAATATAATTTGTCATAAATACTTGTTTCATGTAAAATGGATAACTAGTTAATAGAAATTTAGTTAATAGAAATTAATATTATTTATTAATTTTGTAATAGATTTTATATATTATAAATTATATATATTTATATATATATATATATATATATATATATATATATACATATATACACTTTTCTTTAAGTATATATAAATTAATTAAGATGTGTAAATCCTTATAAAATTAAACTTGATGTGATAGAGAACCAAATTTTATACTTTTAGGGAAAAATAATGCATGCTTACACACTCTGAAAATAAATAAATTACTACATTGTAATAAAAAAATACAAAAAATATGTAAATAATATTATTTCACTTTAATCTTATATAAATGAAATTCATTACTCACACGTTCACTAAACTCAATCACAATAGTATAAACCGACATATATATTATATTTTTCTATATTTTAATTACTTTTAAACAAATCAAGATGATCGTTTTTTCGTCCTGATTTGTATGTATCATTCTAATTGAATCTTAATTTAACTTATTCAACATATATTTCCATTAGCAAATATAGCCAAAATCAATATTCTTTTTATATGCTTCATGTCATGAAGTAAGATATATAAAATAAATATCTCGTACAGAAGATAAACGTAAAAATAACAATTTTTTTAACAAAAATATATGTACAATGATAATGAAACTTACGATTCTTGATTTATATTATAAATCTATCACAAATAAGAATTATATTTATATCATATAAATCATACATTTTTGTTTAAAAATATATATTTATTTATTGACGCATTTTTTAGCTCTATATATAACAATCATTTGTTAAAAAATTAATACTATTTTTAAATATTATCTTTAATATTATATTAATATTTAAATGCTTTTTGCAAGATTTGCATCAAATCTTAAGAACATATTTTAAGCCAAATTTTATAATTCAGATCTTTATTTTTTTCAATGATTTTGGTGCATTATTCTCAGAGATACAAACCAAATTTCAATGCAATAAAATCACATGCTGAGCGATATTTAATACACAAAAAATATTTAATATTAAAAATGCAAATTTTGTAGAAAAGAGGGCATGCAATAAATTTTTGTTAAAAGAAAATTACCTTTTGATTCGTAAGAGAGAGAGAGAGAATGCAAACCTCATAAAATAGCTCATACATATGTATATGTATAATGTACTAATACAATGAGACAGATTTTTATCGCATTTATTATACTGAATTATATAATAAGATTTACATGTGTGTGTGTATATATATATATATATATATATATATATATATATATACATATACTTTTATGTAAATAATAATTAATAAAGATTTTTTGCAACTTATTTTGTGGAGAAAGCATGTGAAGTGCAGTAAGCATTAAAACATTACAAGCGTTAAATAATATTGCTCTAAAAGAATTTAAAGCTTTAAAAAAAATTGCACATAAAATGAAACATAAACGAATGCTTAGAAAAGAGTGTTTCGTAAGCCACACATGATTTGAAAATTTACATATATGTATCTATCATATTGCAGAAATAAAAGTAACGTCAATCAAACATTTTGAAAGCCGCTGTTCAATTATCTCAGATTATAGTAATAAAGTATTACTTTCGAAAATATTTCTAGGTTTATACCTGGAGAAATTGGAGGTGCACCAGTTGTAATATTTACGCTTGTTGAAAGAGACTCTGTTGATGGAAGTTTAGGTAATGGTGCAGATTGCACTTGAACGCTGCTTCGTCGAAGTTGTCGATCCGCTGGTTCTATATATTTGTATTCATTCAGTCGCACTCACAATATTTACTACATTTTATTTTGTATCGTATTAGAAATAGAAAGTGTCTCAAAAAACTGACTAATTAATGATTATTCGATAATATATAACAGTCAGACTTTACATTTACTACATTACAAACACAAGTAAACACAGTAATTATATTAATAACATGTGATATAACAGAAAATATCACGAGATCATCACTTTCTGCTGTGAGACAAGATAAAAGTTGCAAAAAAATATATAATTGCTTACGATGAATTTTAATGAATGATATTGCTACATTTTGCTGTATAAAGAAGATAAAGATATACATGCTTGAATTATACATGCGCAATGGAGCATGCTACTTTAAATTGTTACATGCAGTCAAAAATAATGCAAATTATATAGGAAATTATATTTAAAATAGAAAATAAATTAGCACATTCAAAATATATGAATATAATATAAATAGTGATACGCTAACTTACAATATATATTTTAAGAAATATTATCTCGATATAAATTATTAGTAAAGATACTCTACAAAATGAAAATCTGAATTAAGTTGTTTGAATTAAAGACATTTTTACATCATCTTTGTTACCTAATTTGTTATTTAGTTTTATGTATATATGTTTTATATATATGAAATAATGTATATGTGTGTATATGATATAAAGAGATTTGTCTCAAAAGATTATGTAAAATGAATTGAAAAGTTTAAATTAATCTTTTAATTTTATCCATAAGGATTTGTAGGATCCGTAAATGTGTGTCATTGTGTGTCTTTTTTGTATCGAAAGAGAAAAATGGTGGAAAGTGGGTCGCATAAAGCATAAAGTTATTATGTCACAACAAACTACGGTGCTTATAGTACTAGGGATTCCTACTACAATATGAGAACAGTTTGTTAGACTCTCAAGAGTATTGATTTCCATTTTACCAACAGTCAGACTTGCTACAGTATGTATTTCATTCATATTAATGAGCTACCATAACTATGCGCTAGGCATACCTTATTGACAAGTCTATAATAATAGTTTTATACTTGAGATATATCATAGATTAGACAGCTATGCAAGCGATACAAAAAAATATGCTTGTAATAAATATAAATTTATATATCTCGATCGAATCGATTATTATATGAGAATTCAATGCTCTTCAATTTTCATCAATTTGAATTACTTAAAAATAACAGTGTAACATATTGTAAAAATGATTACGGTATCTTGTAAAATTTATTGTAAAGAGAAATTGATTTTTATTCTTTAAAGGAAATCCCCGTGCATCCATAGAAAACAACAGACTACGCATACATAAATTTTGTGGTTTGTGTACAAGAGTGTCGATATTATATAAACATGAAAAATTGTATACACGTTGCGACAGCATACATTACATAAATCTTACTGGATCTTGCAACGCTTTAATAACAGAGAACAGTCTTGCAGAGACACGCTACTATTATGTACACCTGTATTCTTAATTCATATAGTTCAACGGTCACGGACAAATAATTTTATAAAGTTCATAAATTAGAATTTCTTCTTTTTAGGAAAATACATGCACGCTGTATACGTATTTGTGTATACACGCGTCATATACAACGAGGGTGAGGTTTTAATTTTTTAAAACCGCTTTATTATACTCTGGTTACTTTAACTTTTGGTACATCTTACAAGCTATCGCTTTGTGCATATTGTTTGAAAAGAAACAAATGTAACCGTAAGTAAAATCATTATAAATAAGCGTCTTACGACGTAATCTTACAATGTTATCCATATTGTAGTATTTGACATCGTTGTAATAAAACGTGGGATGGTTAAATGTATAATATCCGACATAGTAATATACTTACGACTAAGAGATCTGCTGACATTTGGCGGTGTCATGGTCTTGAAGGTATCCACCGAACTCCCAAGAGGTACAGAATGAGTTTCCGCATGCAGACGCTGATGATCTCCACCAGGCACAACAATCGGTTGCGAACTCATTGTGAATCTAGGATTGTAATAAAAACAAAGACTGTTGAGAACAATTTTGTGTATATACGTGTATTAAACTCAATGAAAGTAAACTTGTATTAAGTATAAAGACATTTCAACAAATTCATACACGTTAAGCTCAACGAAAATAGACACGTCGATCCATCAAGTATATATCTGGGGCTAGCGAGATAGTTTGCGAATAAATATCCTGGATAAAAAGGAAAAAATGACGAATCGCAAGGAAGGCGCGTTTACATTCGTTTTTCGTTTTCGGCATGCAACGCAGATGCGTCAAGACTCACCTTGTTTTCCAACGACAACGGTAAATCGGTCAATCAGTCGCGATAATTATGCATAGATGACGAGAGCGCGAGATACGTAAGAAGCGAAACGCGACATCGTTATCGGCGTATCGTACTTTTCGAGCGCTCTCGAGCGAACGTGGCTGAACGTCGACGAATCTTAATGCCCTGGCGAAGGCGAAGGCGAAGGACGACGCGTGTACGCGCGCGTGGACGGCCTCTCGACGGGACGGCGCGTTGCGGACAAACGTGGGTGCCAAGTGCGTCGTTCCATCTACCATTTGATCGGTAGCAGCAGCAGCAGCGACGACGACGTTCAACGAGATGCGCGCGACTGCGACTGCGACTAATGCGACTCGCTTGCATCCGCGCCCGCGCGCGTGCAACGACTGCGTGAATCCGGCTCGGACAGGCTCGAAGCTCGGAGCAACGCGACGCAGTAACGTTGGAGGAGGCGATAAAAAGAACCTTGAGGGAGGAGAGGAGGTGGACCGCAACCTCCACAGACGCGTGCTTCAACTACATACGTGCGCTTCAACTCGACAAAAACATCGCGTCTCTCGGTCGTTTCTGACGTGTGTGTGTCGGGTGTCGGGTGTCGGATGTCGGTGTCGGTATCGGTGTCGGTGTCGGTGTCGGTGTCGGGGTCGGGGTCGGATACGCGCGTTTCCACCGTATATACATACGTATCCACGTCGCCCGATCGCCCATCGACGAGGTATCTCTTTCTCGATTTTACATTCGCGGAGAATCTCCCGTTTTGAAACGGAAACGGTCGAGCGCGTCGCCGGAATGCACGATGACGTTTACGTGCACGCGGATCCGATTCATCCTTGTCTTTCTTTCATCTCCGCTCGCACAGTCGCCATCTCTCGTTTTCTCTCTCTCTCTCTCTCTCTCTCTCTCTCTCTCTCTCTCTCTCTCTCTCTCTCTCTCTCTCTCTCTCTCTCTCTCTCTCTCCTCTCTCTCTCTCTCTCTCTCTCTCTCTCTCTCTCTCTCTCTCTCTCTCTCTCTCTCTCTCTCTCTCTCTCTCTCTCTCTCTCTCTCTCTCTCTCTCTCTCTCTCTCTCTCTCTCTCTCTCCTCTTTCTTTGAGACGGCCGGTCGATATCGCTCGGCGGGTGTAAATTTTTAATAATCGCTATTAATGCAATTTTAGGTCACCGGTTCTAATGAAAAAATCTTGGTGTTCTTTATCTACACGTTTATGTACGGGCGATCACGGATCGCGCAAGCAAAGATTGACGCCAATCTCATGTCAAGATTTATCCGTCTTGGAATAGAATTTCGCTTCTGCGTTTATTTAATGAGAGATATTTCATTTTATATAAATTACCGAAAAATGTTCAGATAGTTCAATCTTGCTCGCGTGAATGTTACAAGTGATATATGTTTCTTTGATAATAATCGATCACATTTGATTCTCTGAATGCAACGCGTTAAAATTGACCCCAATTTTGCTCGCCCGTCCGCATTATGCGTAGAGCCGTAACGTAGGAGGAGCCAGCGAGTCGATAACTCGGGATTATCTGACTATTTCGAAACACAATTCAATCTATAAATAAGTTACTGAAATGTAATTGAATACATAATAATTCGAATAATGAAGCATCTTTCGTAGGATTTTCGATACATGTTGAGCAAACAATATCGGTGATGTTCTTTTTTGCGCAAGATTTATACGAAAAGAAGATTATTGCGTGTGCGCTTTTATTTTATTCTTTTTCAGAGAAAGGAAAAAAGATTGGCGGAAACTTTAAAACTATTTTAAACAATCGAGTCTAATAGAGACGGAAAAAGCTTTACTTTTTGCTACGTTTGCCTAAAGGGACGTCATGCGATTGACGATGGTGTATTCCAAGGTAAGCGTCGAAATTCATATATATATATATATATATATATATATATATATATATATATATATATATATATACAGTATAGACGCAAAATTTTCTCAAGTAAATGTTATATGATCGATATATATAGATATATCAAAGCTCTATCATAATATATATATATATATATATATATATATATATATATATATATATATCTTTTCGATTACTGTCTTTTTAAGAATAATTTTAAAAATTGTTTCATTGTTCTCCAAAAAATAAATATACATGTGCATTTTATCATAAATATACAAATAAATGCAACTAAAAGGGAAATATGTATATTTTAATAATGTCCGCATATCCCATCTCAATTGGCAATGCTGAGCAATATTTCGTATTTATAGCAACGTAATTAAGCGTCTTATATAAGTACCGACTACATTATCATTGTTTATACCGTTTACACTATTATGATAGTGTTTTTCTCCGTTCTACGTACTCATGATATATACGCAACTTTTTGTCCAATCGTAGCGCATTGCGATTGGCTGCGGTACCGATGCAAATTCTCTATTACAAGATCGTAATACGTATAGTTGCGTATAATGTTAATCGTGTGCCGCAAATGAAAATATTACTGTAGAGGAATACAAGTTTGCTAGGTTAATTTTATATTTATAATTAATAAATAATTGTGAATAATTAACGTAATTTGTGCACAAGGACAAAATTTCGTGGAAAAATATGGCTATGTAATTAAAGTTAGTCGCAACATATATATATGTATATAATCCTGTAATATAAAATATACACAACATACATGTATATCTATATACATACACACACACGCATATATATGTTTATATCCAATAATTGTATATACATGTATAAAATTTTGCATACAAAAAGGTTTAAAATAAATAAAAAAATTATCTCTATTACTCACTAAAATGTATTTACAGTTTCAAGATTTTGTATAAATTATATATAAATTTCAAAAATATATTTAACCAAACATTAATATATATATATATATATATATATATATATATATATATATATATATGTATAAATATTTACCTTTTCGATTACTATCCTCTCAAGAATAATTAAAAAAAATATTTTCTTTTCTTTAATTTTGTCGTTGTAAACAATTTTTTATAATGACGAAAATAAAATATATTTTAATTTTATCTGCTCTCTTTACTACGTGTGCGAGGAGGCGTATATTCACCAAAATATACACCTAAAATTGAAAGAATAAATCTGCATAAAGGAATACTTTTAAATTAAATAACAAAAGAACAATATCTGTGTTTGGGTCGATTTCTTATTAAAACAGCAAAGATGAATATATCGCTCCAAAGTGGAAGCGAATCTTTATACTCGAATATTCGAAAATCTGTATTTCGGTACAGATAGCATCCTCCGGTAAAAGACGACTTGGTTGCGCGATTCGAGTGCGCTCGATCAGGTCGAACGTGTCCAAAGTCGCGCGAGTCAGCGAAATACAAATGGGCCGCGTAAAGTTGGAGTAGGTAGGTATCATATATCGCGCCGTTTTCGCATCACGGTAGGTTGGAGCGACGTCAGATCCGTCAACCCCTTCTCCGTGGGAGGAAGACTCGTCGGCGGTCGGCGGCCGAAGCCGAAGGCGAAGCGGGCTCAGTCGCGTTGCGCGGAGCGTGATGGCCGCGTCTGTAAACGATCGGGTGGTACCTACGGCGAATGCCGCCAAAAAGCCCATGTCCACGATCCAGGGCAAGCCCTTGTGCTGGCAGCACCGGCTGTTTGGCAAGCAGCTGGTGCGCTGCCAGGTTAACGACGCGAGAAAGTCGATCGAATCGACGACCGCGTCCCTCGTCCACGAGGATGGCCGGCCGGCCTGCGAGATCGTCGGCATGTACTTCAGCTTTGTGAATCCCGGTGCGACTTGCGACGATTTTACGCGTCAGCTGGTCGAGCTCTACGCAAACGTCAACGGCACAACGGACGACGGCGACAGCGGAGGCGGAAGCGGAGGCGGAGGCGGAGGCGGCGGCGGCGGCGGCGGCGGCGGCGAGCGCGACAAAAGGAAGAGATTCGAGGTGGTACACGTGGTGCTCTGGAGCAACGTCACCGACGTGCTCGACTTCGAGGACAGCTTTCGCGCCCACGTAGCCGATCTACCTTGGCTCGTCGTGCCCAACCGAGATTACGAGAGGAAGGTAAAAATCAAATAATAAAACATTTTTGTACGCTCCTTTCTTCTTCTCCCTCCTCTCTTTCGTTTCTTCCTCCTTCGTCTCTCTTTTTTTCCCCAGTTAGTTTAGTTTATATTGAAAAAAGATTTAAAAAATTTATAATAATGGCGTAATCGCTCGTTGACCAATATCACTGTGTTATAAAGCAGCATCAGCGTGAGGTCGGGATAGCTCGGTGGTTTAGAGCAGTTTCCCGGAAAGCGAACGACTCGGATTCGATTCCCGATCCATCCACTTGCACCTCACACATTTTTCTAGTTTACGAATATTGTTTTCTAACAATATTCTAACAGTTATTTGGGCTTTGACCAAATGGACACGTTCGACCTCCCCCCACATACATCCCTGTCTTTTCTTAATTAGTGTACTTGTTCCGGATTCTTCTATCTATACAAAGATCCCGTATCTGGAAATCTCTTAGTTCTTCTGAAAGATCTCTCTCTGCTTTAGTAAAATAATAATAATTAAAGCAATAATAATTATATCATTCTCTATACTAAAGTAAATTTGACTTACTTTAAAAATTCTGCTCTTTCTTGACATATTTTATTATGTTTATGTAAACATAATAAAATATGCGGCCGTGCCGTATTGATGTGGCGTAGACTTTAATATATTTTTTAATTTTTTATCGTTTTAAACAGCAACCCGAGAAAAGAGCGAATAAGAGTCATCGGGGATGATAGCGCGTAAAATTTTAAAGATTAGTAATTCGCGAAAATTAAAACGCGTGAAAGACTTATGCATATATTTTACTAGGTGCATTAACCAAGATATAGATTCTCAATACCGAGAATACTATAACACCCCTCTTTACTCCCCTGAAGAGACGTAGGCGAGAAAAATATCTTGGTTAATGCACCAAGTAAAATATATGCATAAGTCTTTCACGCGTTTTAATTTTCGCGAATTACTAATCTTTAAAATTTTACGCACTACCATCCACGGTGGTTCTTAATCACTCTTTTCTCGGATTGTTGTTTAATATATTACAGAGCCTAATTTCTTTATCTATTTTTATCGTTTTGTTTCGTCAATTTTTTTTTACTTTTTAAATATACCCATCTATCTTTACATAACTTAGATGTTTTTTTCCTTAAAAATGGGGATATATGTGGCCACACAATTTTGACCATATTTTTTTACTGCTCCTTCCAATATCATATCCTATAAATAGATATTTTTTAAATATTACTATATATAAAATTATTACACACACACATACAGAAACACACAGATATACAAACCTTTTTTTTTATTGGTATTTAATGGTCAATCAATCGTTTGACCTACGGTTTTTTGAACAAAACTCTTGATAGACAAAATCGACAAAATTTTGATTTAGAAATGTTCAATCATGTTACTTATTTCTTCTTCACGCCAAATTTCATCAATATTTTTTCTATTTCTTTTCGACATATTTGTTTTTAATTTTCTTTTCCTTTTTTCTCTGCTTTGGAGATAGTTCCATCTGTCTTTACACTCCGTCTGGCCGTTTTTCTTTTAAAAAATTTTGACGATACGTGTACCCAGTTCTCCCTATATTTTTTACTGAACCTTTTAACATCATATCCTATAAATATACACACACACACAAATCTTTTTTTTATGGATATATAAGATATATCCAATTATTAAAATTATTTAAGTTGAGAACGTAGTTGGTCACGTGCACTTGATACTCTGGAAATGTATTATCTCCGATCTCCTTACTACTCTTTATTACGGTTTTTCTCGGTATTTCGCATTATCGTCGTTGTTGATAATAGAATGCAAAGGTACAAGGGAATATTGCGATAAAGAAAACTACGAAAGTGTAATTTGCAAGTATGGCCTGGCGTGTGAATAATTGGGCGTGAAAAGGAGCGATACTTTAAGTACATTAAAGTTTCTCATTATTTATATGGTTATTCGATTTTTATTGCACGTGTAATCCGCTAATGCATCTTATCTCGAACCTTCTTTGGCTCGAGAGAAAATTTAGATACGTATCGAAAAATATTTGTACATAATACACACATTGCACAATTTTATATCTGAGAAACACGTGTGAAAAAAGTGTAACTCTACGATAAAACGATATTTTATGAAATTTCGTATTTCAATGTTTTTCTCGATGAAATTTATAGTTATAAACGAGATTTTTTTCGATATAAGCCGGTGTTTACACATCTCGGCTAATGTGTGCATCGCATATGCATTTCAATAATTAATTTATAAGAATAACAATGCTTTTTATCCAACATGAATCCGTTTTTCTTTTCTAATTATGTTTGCGCGCTATCTATTATATGATTTGTATTTTATTTACATCGGCCAGTGATTAATATCTCGACTCAATATTTATTTGCGTTCTTTTAATTTAATTTCACGTTCTTTTGTAACGTTGAAAAGGAGGATCCCATCGTAACATTTGTTCAATTATGTTTTTTAACACGTTCTCAATTTTAATTATTACGCAGCATTTATCTAAGGTCCAATGGCCCTTCTTTTCTTCTTTATCAGTATGATCGAAATATATTTAATCTTTGCGGGTTCATCATTCCTTAGGATAAAATTTATTTCGCGCATAGTTTGCTTTTACATGTATAAATATTATTTCTCGCGTATATTTACTAATACAATACATACATATACGTATATAAATAATACGTGTGATACTTTTGAAATGTTTCGAATGTTATTTGAAACTTTGGACTACTTAATATTTTATTCAACTAGGGTACTTTAGATTCATCGATATTTATAATAGGGATGTACACAGAGGACAATATATACGATATATTTAATCGCTCTCAATTGCGGAGAGGCCGTAACGATAAACGCTTTAGCAATAATCAACGTCAAGTAGCACCGTGATTGGCCCTCGCTCATTAATTCTATGTTTAAATCGCTTTCGAGAGCGTCTCGCTGCAATCACAAATCCTTTGTGAGAGTTTCATTAACAATAACAGAAACGGAGTTAAGATTACTTAATTAAAACTTGAGAAAGATTAGAGATCAATTTCATTCGAAAAAGTCTATCGAAGACTCGTTTCACCGAAAAGAAAGATTCATCAATAAAATTCTATATATATATATAATTAAATTTATTTAAAAAAAAATATATATATATAAAAATATATATATATAAAAAAAAATATATATATATATATATATATATATATATATATATATATGTATAAAGTTGCCAATTATTATACGTAAGATAAATCAATATCACTTTTCGAGAAAATGTTGCTCGTTTTAGTATAATAATACTTGGAATTAGTTATAATAATCTTATCGCAAATTAAGAAAATTTAATTTTATATTAATAATACTCGGGCGCGATCATCGTAGGCATAGTTTAAAATTATTTTCGTTCGCTGAGTCGGCTTTGATATAAAGATAATTAATCGCGCTCTATTTTGCGCAGAATTATATGTTTTTTCATTTCGACAAAAATCTCGATCGATGAAATGACAAAAAGGCACGTATGCTTATCGACCCGACTTTTTCGCGCCCATGCATCTTTGATGGTCCTCCATCCCTCCATCCCCTTTATCCCGAGAGGACACTCGCGCGCGGTTGACACACTCCGTGAATAAGGCGTCTCTGGGAGGCCCGTCGCTCGTCGCTTCAACGCTTTAATCAGCGAGGTTGCTCATAGCTCGGACGTTCTAAATCGCTTCGTAAGAAAGCTCGCTCGCTTTTTTTGCCCGAGAGCAACGTTAACGAGAAAGCCGCGTCGTGAAAAGAGAAAAAGAATCGAGTAAACGACTGGGAGCCTTCTATTCTAAATACACGGTCGACCCATATCTTCCTCAAATAGCGTTCTCGTTCCCTCCACGCGATAATGAAAGGAATCGAAAGAGGAAGAGACGGAAAGAGGAGATACGAGACAACTATACGAATTGTATGAACGTATGTTTCTTTTCCTTCGCGTGAGTTTGTACACACATGAGTTGGTTCGTGAAAAATGAAGCGTGAGCCAGCCACGGCTGTATCTTTGGAATGTCTGAAAGTCTAAACGAAAGTTGCGAAACTTTGAATTCTTTTCTCTCTCTTTCTCTCTTGTTCGCTTTCTCTTTGTGTGAATAATTGTCGTTGCTTTAAATATTAATTAGAGAAATTTCTATTTTAAATGATATATTAATGACTTTAATTTGTATTTATTCAGTTATTCAGTTATATTACAATCGAAATATACGATTACGAATCGATAAATAATTGTGAATAAATCTCGAAATCGCTATTTAATTTTAAACAAGTTTTACTTTAATAAACGATAATTCGAAGAGATGCATTGTTATAATTAAAAAATAATGCTTTTCGTCGTCGTATAAATATCGTCTGATTCTGCAAACACGTGTAAACTCATACTCGTAGATATCCAAGGGAGAAAATCTTATTATTATTTCATGCGGATGGTCGCGGTTTTGTTTTGCATTTCGTTTTTTTCTTTTTTTTTTACCTCGTTGCATGCCTACGAATTGTGCACGATGTGGGCTATTAGCCCGTGGTCAAAAGGAAAGTGGCGACGGTGCAAATTGCTCGCGCGAAAAGTCGTCCTTATGTTTGTAAGAGTTTGTAAAAACGAATCTCACGACAGCAAACTTTTAAGCCACATTATCGTCGTGCATCAACCTTTCCCTACAATATAAAGCTTCGTTATAATGGAATATTTTTAAAAATATCTGTATGTATCTGGCCACATTCTATAAACGTGCATTTTAGAAATTTTGACTTTGCGTATATTGCTCCGGTTAATTTCGCGCCGAAATGATTAATCGAGAAATTATTTCCGTCGAAATAACTGAAAATTCCTCAAGAAATTATAACGTAAGCTTAGATGTAGTAGATACATGGATATGTATGAGCTAAAAAAACTGCAATTTAAAAAGTTGACACGCGCGCGCGTCATCTTAAATGAATACTTAACATTATGAATATATATAAACATCGCGGGAAATTATGATTTTTATCATCGTTGTTCATCGTATCGATAGCTATTACTGTTGAATGACTCGACGAAACCCGAAAGAAACCTATTTTTTAAATATTTCAAATTTATTATTATTTTTCCCAGAAACAGAAAGAAAAGGGATCTTTCTCTTTCTTTCTCCATTATTCTCAAACTTGGGAAAACAAAAATTGGTAAATCCCACAAGATCGCCATAACGAGCCGCTCACACGCGACTATTTTCGCTTATCTGCGAGCGTGAGCAGCGTAGACAACGGGGGGAGTGCACGAAGGGAGAACACGCAGTCGTCGTCGTCGTCGTCGTCGTCGTCGCGACGAGCGCATGGGCGTCGGGCGTCGGGCGTCGGGTTAGATATGCGATCTGTATACATTCCAGAGACGATTGAACGCGTGCAAACTAATCAAGAGTCAAAAGTAATCTCTGTTTTATCCCCCTCTTTCTCCCTCTTTCGCCCTCGCGATTTCTTTTTTAGTCGCATATTTTCGCGTCCAGTCGTATCGCGGAGAAGTTTTGTCGACGAGGAAACGAGAGTAACGAGAGCGAAAATGTAGACGACTCAAATACTCGTTCGTTTAGATCGCATCGTGTTTAGATATTTTTAAAGAAATATAAAATTGCAAAATAAGTACGAGCGATGTTTTTCACATTGAATAAACCAGAGAGAGAGAGAGAGAGAGAGAGAGAGAGAGAGAGAGAGAGAGAGAGAGAGAGAGAGAGAGAGAGAAAATTATAAGGTAAAATTATACATCTTTTGCAAATTTCTGAATCCTTCGAAGAACGAGAGAGAGAGAGAGCGAGAGAGAGAGCGAGAGAGAGAGAGAGAGAGAGAGAGAGAGAGAGAACTCGTATCGATCCTTTCCTTTGGAAATTCTAGCTCCAAGTCTAATAACGTAGGGAAGGAATATTATGTCGTCGAATGTACGGACGAGGGAAATAACGATAGCGCACCGTCCGTCGTCGAGAGCGGTAGCAACTAGCAACGCGAGCGAGGGAGGACGCACCACCGCACCATGCGTTATCGACCGCTCGAGAGGCTGCGAGGGGTGAGCGCGAACCTCGCGTCTCGCGTCCTCGCGTTCGTAGGCACCACGTGACGCGGTGGAAGCGAACGGGACGGCCGCGCGGGAAATATACGAAGGGACGAAGCGACCCTTCGCGCGCGCGGCCGACCTTCTCTCCTTCCGCCTTTCGCTCTCGTGTGTTTAAGTACCTCGCGATAACGTACGCGCTTAGCTTCGCCATACCCCCGCCTACGAACCCTTCTCTCGCCTTACGCCTCTTCTATCCATCCTCTCTACCCTCTCTCCCCCTTTCGCCCTTCATGAGCGACCGTAACCCGTAACGGAGCATCCCGCGTGATACGAGAAATCGCCCGACCCGGTCCTTCCCCTCGAGATATCGAACTGCGGGGACGCGCGGTCCGGGGGGACGGCCGATTTAATGCAGTTTCGAGAAAAGGGACGGAATGGGAGTGGAGGAGGATAAATTGGAAGGTTTAGATCTCCGCGCGCGATTCCGCTCTTGCTCATATTATAACACCTCGACACCGAGACGATCTTTGCGAATCGACGAATTTAATCAGCGATTTACGTAAAATTGGGAGGGAGGATTGTAAATATCAATATTTCTATATCCTAAATATCGATATTTCTACATCAAAAAATATATTTTGTTCGATAATGTTAGATGGTTAGAAATTTCAGTCTCTTCTCAATCGAATGAAGATATAATATTCTGATGTTTCTCTATTTTGTTGATACGTAGAAAAAATGTAGTAAAATATTTAAAAAAGTATATATAACACACACGCACGCACGCGCACACACACACACATATACCATATATAAATTAATGAGAGATTTTTTTTTTAATTAATGAGATGCAAGGATCGTTATCGTTATTGTCAACTTGATGACGGTTGAAATAACGAGAGAATAAAAACAAAAAAAATTCGAGAAGATAGATTAGAGGTGTAGGAAAAAAAGTTCTCTATTAAAGTTGCCGTTAATGATGCACATTATTCGCGAAAAGATATATAAGGACTATTATTCATATCTTATCTTAATTAAACGTACGATATATCTCTTCTTTTATACATTTCTTTTCTATAAAAAAACATACTAATCATTTCTGTCTAATATGAAAGTCACATGTAATATGAAACAGGAATTAATAATATTTGAATTTAACATTAAATATTAAAGAAAATCATATTATGCATATTGATACGCACGAGTTAAGTGTTTCATGTATGAAATTAATTTGCAATTTGTTCGGATGATTGGAAATTTGTGTAATTTAACGTACAATGCGATTATTATACAGGGTCTACCAAAAGTGTGGAAACCCCTAAATATCTCGGAAAATATACGTTTTACAGAAAAGTGTTTCCAACAAAAGTTGTAGGGTTTAAGAAGATCTATATACTGATTCTATCAGTTTGACCTTGGATGGCGTCGTCAAGGTCAGGTCAAGGTCACATTGACTTTTTTAAATGACACCCCCTACATTTGATTGCATATTCTTATAGCTTAATTCAAGAGCTTTCCAAAACACTATAATAATGTTCATTTTTATTAAGTACTTTGCGAGTTATGAGGGTTGAAATAATTTCTTAATTTTACATAAACCATAAAATATCTAGTAAACCATTCATTTTTCGATTATCTTACCTTCATACTTTTATGTACAAATTAATGAGAGGAATCAATTGGTGTAAAGAAAACACATAGTTGTTTCTAAGAAAAAATATGTAATTTGCAATTAACAATTCCATATTTTTTCTTAAAAACAACTGTATGTTTTCTTTACACCAATTGATTCCTTTCATTATTTTGTACATAAAAGTATGAAGGTAAGATAATCGAAAAATGAATGGTTTACTAGATATTTTATGGTTTATGTAAAATTAAGAAATTATTTCAACCCTCATAACTCGCAAAGTACTTAATAAAAATGAACATTATTATAGTGTTTTGGAAAGCTCTTGAATTAAGCTATAAGAATATGCAATCAAATGTAGGGGGTGTCATTTAAAAAAGTCAATGTGACCTTGACCTGACCTTGACGACGCCATCCAAGGTCAAACTGATAGAATCAGTATATAGATCTTCTTAAACCCTACAACTTTTGTTGGAAACACTTTTCTGTAAAACGTATATTTTCCGAGATATTTAGGGGTTTCCACACTTTTGGTAGACCCTGTATATTTGCAAAACATGATAACATAATACAATATATATATACTTATCTCGTTCTACTTTTTGCCTAATTTCCATCCACATATGCAGTTTTTATTCTTATTACTTCTCGAGTAACATTATCGGTATATTGCTCGCATCGTTGATGTAACTCTGCGGTAATTCACGGCTTATTGCTTTGTAGTCTATGGAGAAATGTGCTTTTAGCGCATCTTGTTCATTGGTATTATTGAGCGAGACCATTAATTTTTCTATAATAGCCGATATCTAGGCCGATATATCTATAAGGCTCGATATTTAATTGTCCACACTAATTATTAATTATATAATTTTATATTAAACGATATAAATAATAAAATTAATATTAAGCAATATGAAGCAATATTATTAATTAGCTACCTAATTACATTAAACGATAAATTATAAATTTACTATTAAAATATATTGTGAATTATCTAATGTAATATATTAAACAATATTATATCTAATATATATATATATATTATGCATATTATATATTATATATATTATATCTATATTATATCTAAGTTATATAATTTGATGGCACAAATGAAAAATATTATAACTGGATTTTTTAACAATTGTATATTTTCAATAATCTTTCCAGAGTCTATTAATAAAAATTATGTTATGTCTCGAAGAAAAATAAACAATTTGATTTATCCGTCTTACTCAAAATAAATTGCAATTTTACAATCGCAATATTTTTCATTGTTTTCATTCGTCGAATTACGCAGATTATTAATCTTTGTGTTTTTTTCAGACCAGGTTGACTCGAAGGTATCGGATAAAAGCAGGCGTACCGACGTTGATCCTGCTGGAGGGCTCCAATGGCTCCGTAGTGACAAGAGGAGGCGTCGAACGAACCATCGCTGATCCCACCGGCTTAGAATTCCCTTGGAGACCTCCGCATCCAAAAGCTGCCCTTGAAGATGGACCTCTCCTGCCTTGCGGTGCACGCGATAGCAACGAACCCATGTTGCACGAAGAACTCCGCTATTGTTACAAAGGGGTTTACTTTAGCGCGCATTGGGTAAGGAGCGATACTGAAATTATGTAAATGTTGGAATTATGCTCAATCGCATTACAATATTTTATTGCTTTTCGTGATAAGTTTAATTCTTAAACAAAAATATGTGTATCTTGAGAAAAATATTTTATTAATTTGTATAAAGCAAATTGTAAATCTACGATTGATCGATGGGAGCGAGGAAGTTGATTTTTATAAAATTATTAATTTTATTTTCATTGATTACACTACATATATTATGTCATATAATGATATAGAAGAGATAAGCGAATATAATTTCTTGTATTACATTTTTAAAAAGGCTTTAAAAAAATTCTTATATTTGGATATCAAGACAAATAGATAATAATATATATCTTTTTACTTAATTTTAAATATACATTTTAACAAAATATTAATTTAATGATAAATTACAAAAACATTTAAACGTTAGAATGTTGAAGAAAAGGTTTTTTCAAAGAGGAGATCGATTTCGTATTCCACTTATAAATCGCAACATATCTCGAATGATTGACGTTGATTTAATCTACATATTTTTGATATTGCAAACATAAATATTAATTACACATTTCATGTTCAACAATCATCTTAAAATTATATTGTCTACTTTTCATTTAGTGTCCACCTTGTAAAGCATTTACTCCGCAACTTGTGGATACGTATCAGCGAATTCGGGAGAGAGGTGGAAATTTCGAAGTAATTTTTGTAAGTTCGGACAGGTAAGTTTATTTGTGGGATTGATTATACTCTCGTACTTCTCTTCCGTGTATATGTGTTTCATAGATTTCTCTCCTTTTAAAATATCTCATTTTATTCCAACACATATCTCTTTGCCTTTTTATTCGACTGATTTCTCCGTGTACTTATCATTATATCCATAGTTGTTTTGTTTTCTTCTCTTTTGTGAAAGATTTCAATTGTGCGTTTTTATCCTAGGAGTGAGGACTCTTATAATGTGTACACGGAAACAATGCCTTGGCTAAGGATACCTTTCAATCAAGAAGAAAGACGTCGAAAATTGGCAAGGGCTTTCGATGTTCAAGCAATACCGACTCTAGTCATTCTAGATTCTCGCGACAACATAATCACTCTAGATGGGCGCACCGAATTGATCGAAGATCCAGAAGGACTGGTAAAGTTTTCAACATAATTTTCAAATTATTATATTAAAACGTTACTGTAGATGATTGAAACAAAAAGGATGTTTTATATATATTAAAATTTGCCAAAAATAATAAAGAACATAGCATTTTATTCCTCTGAATATTTGCAATTATTGAGCTTGTAAACGGAAGAAAATCTTTTTATAGAATTTTCCCTGGACAAATAGGCTGGTGAATATTTTAACAGAAAAATATGCTACGTCATTACACGATGCTCCAGCCATTATCTTGTTTGTCGGCAAGTATACAAATGAAATGTACTATGTATATGTACATACATAAACATTTACGTGCTATTCAAAAAGAAATTATAAAATCTGCTAAAAGAACTAGATTGTATATTGTTTAATCTTTTCCTATAATATTTTACAGAAGGAGAAGATTATGAGATTCAATTCGGGGAAAGTGTACTATTACCGGCTGCACAAGCATATAGAAGGGATCAGCCCGATTATGATCCAAATTATGATGATCCTGAGGATGATATGTTGCAATTCTATATAGCTTTAGATGTAAGTATACATGTATGCATGAGAGAGTAAATTAAGCGTAAATTAAATATATGTAAATATAATTTGTCTCAATGTCCATAAGGATTCAAAGGATTAAATTTTATAATTATACGTGATTATTGTATATAAAATTATATATAAATCGTAAATATGTAAAATATCTATAAACCAAGTACATTTAACGATTTTTTTTGACGCAGTGCGAAACGTCCGACATTCTTCGTGAATTCATTGGTTTGGATGATGCGGTACCTCTTTTGACCGCGATAGATATTCCACGAGGAATATATGTGGTGATGGAAGACGGTGCTGAAATTTCCGTGGACTCTGTACAACAATTTGTTGATAAATTTCTCGACAACAAATTACCGATAAATAAAATAACGGCAGTGCATAAAGTATCAAAAACAAATGAACATGTGCCAGCTTAAGGCATATTAGTATATAATTTAGCATAAAGCATAAAATTTGTACTTGTCAAATGTTAGGAAAGATTGTTCGAATGTCGAAAGAAATCTTTTTAATTTTTTTTTTACTCCTATCTCTGTGATACCGTCGCTCTTTACGTAGACAAAAAAAGGAGTCACACATAAAAAAATGTACTTCTTGTTGCATGATTCTTTGCAAAAAAGTAACCAAAAAATATGTATTATACAGTAGTCATAAATAAATCGATCAAATTGTATTTTTAAGTGTACGCACACACGAATACGTTAATAAATTATATATTACTTAATACCGAGTGAGCGCATTACCAGTATTTTTAACTAGGAAATAACTTTTTCACTGTTGCAGTTTTTAATATCAATCACACATTATATTTATGTCGTACAAATATTTGAAGATTTAATACAATATCTATATATATTTTGTGACACTGTGCACATACAAATTTTTTTTATTCCGTAAATTTACTTTGCAGATGATGATGTTAAACATTATATTAATTGTCTGATATAGCAAACATAATTTTATTTACATCTTTTTTTATTCACACTTTTTTTCCGAGTTTTTTTTTTATAAAATTATTTAATCCATTATGTCTCTTGAATTAATAATAAAAGCGTTATTGCAATAGAGTGACTTTTTATCCTTTTTTTTTTAAATATACTTAAATATACTTGTTACTTGTTTTTAAATATACTTGTTGTATCCTAGCAATTTTTATACAACACACACACACACAAAATTGATTATTACATTTATACAAAGTCATTGATTTCACACACATATCAAAATCCTAATTTATATATTAAATATTTCACAATTATAAAGCTACTGCCGTCGCTGGTTAAAAAATATACAATAAGAGTTTGCGTTTTTTAAGAAAAGGCACTATAACGTCAAGAATAATAAAGTGCATTTAATTATTTTAATAGTCGCATTAGTTAAAAATTTCATTAATGTTATTGCCATACTGTTTGTCTCTAATGATTATACAATTATGAGAATTATCATGCAAGTAGTGCTGCCAAAGCATCAAGAAACTTGGGTCTTTCCTCGATTTTCAGTCTTATTACTGCAAAGAAGAAAAGTATTAAATATGTGTGCCAATTCATACAGATTACAAATTTTATTTTATACATACTTGTACTATCAAAATAGTCTGGTTCGATGTAACAATTTTTATTTTTTGCAGTTTGCTCGAATGCTTTTCCAAATAAACTGTAAAAAATACATGGTTAAATCTCTCTCTCTCTCTCCCTCTCTCTCATATTTCGTTCATATATATATATATATATATAATATATAAATATTACCTTCTGGGTTGATCTTCACAAACTGGTGGTATACCGACAAGAAGACATGATCCTTCCTCTGTGCTAAATACAGCAGAGGCCACAAGAGGCCATTCAGAAGCACGCCTATTTCTCGAAGAATTTACATACGCTTTGAGAGCAAACTGAGCTAGCATAATCAAGGGATGAGGATGTGCGAATAAATAAGTGTCTATATTCCCATCTGGTACATTGAGATATAAAAAGGAACCAAAATTCTTTACTTGCTTAGCTTCCAATATACTCTGTGCAGTTTTAAAGATATTGTGAAGCATAAGCTTTGCCTTTTCTATCCCACTTTCTAAAATATCCTTTTTTGTGCGCGATAAACAGTCTAGCGCGTCTAAAAAGCAACGCTGTGGTTGTCTATCCTTTGTCTGTAAAAATACATAGTAACTTATACATTAGACAAAATATTAATATACTGCATTTAATAATTGCTTACTTACTGTAGAATCCAGTAAAGCCAACATGGCATATACCATGTCTGAAGCGCAATATTTAAAACGATAACCGTATTGAAGAGTAAAACTGGTGCCAATAATGCTGTTGACATTATATTTGCCAGCTAATTTTTCAACCATTTGCCTAAATTCTTGTCTAAAAGTAAGATCCATTGCACGAAACAATTGTCTGGATTGCACTAGAGGTAAACCCATTTCTGCTAAAACTTCTTTCAAACGTTGTTCTCCTCTAATGGACCAAAGACGTAACGATACCGCAGTCGACATTGAATATTTTAAGCTAGCTTCAACAGTCCAATGACGATATAATGCGAGTTGTAAACTATTCGCGATCATGATTAAGGAATTAATACATTTGCCAGATTTTTGTATATTAAATCAAAAAACTATTTATCACACAAAGGATACTCTTTGTCGTAAGTAACTTTAACAATGCTTTGCTGCTGTTGTTGCTTATCAACATCGATGCCCTGCCTATGTGTTAATCTGGAAACGTGAGCTTGAAGAGAACCTTCTTCAAGAACAGCTATTCTTGACTCTATCTTGGTAAGAATCGACTGTTCCGTCGAGCCAACTATAGCCCACCATGCCATATCTAGATTATCTTTTGACATGTTCCAAGCCATCTCAAATACTACTATCGCGCTCTGCGACAAAAAAGATGGTATGTTTTAAACATTAATTTAAAAAAATTTTTATACATTATCGAAACAATTAGTTATACGGCATACCGATTTGCCATAATAACTGTATTGTAAATAATTGAAAAGAATCGTCTCCCTATTTTCAACCCATTTCCTTCGTTCGCTTCTCCTTAAAATGTCCTCTTCGTTCAATCTTCGTCTTTTACTTTGTCTGTTTTCATTTTCACTATCAGATTCCTCGTTTGCATCCTCTTCATCCGACTATATATACATAATTAATCAGAATTGTATTGAAAAAATTGTTAAACATTTGTATGACATTTTACATCAAATTACATACGCTATCATCTCGAAATATATCATTGTATTCTGGAATTTCATCGTCTTCGTCGGGTTTACCAAGAATACATATTTGACTTTCCGAATATATATTGCATAAATCGTAAGGCCTATGACTGTCAAGAATAAAAAATATTACAGACTCATCCGGTCGAAGTAATTCCACTAAATCTAGAGTACCACCACAGTTTATCATTACAACATTCTTTATCTGAAAGAAGAACAATTATCTCTCTTAGAATAATTATCAATTAATGGAAACATGTAATAATACATACAATTGGGTAGCCATTACCTCTTCGCAATTTTCATCAAATGCATTTATCATATCCTGAACGCCTCGGACAGGTACAAGAGTATATATTATGTGATCATTTTTAAAAAGTTGTTGTAATATTCTACAGGCACAGATTGCATCGATATCAAAATTCACCAGAAGTAAACACCTCTAAATTAGGAGAATTAATTAGATATTTAATTAAATAACACATTGGAGCCATATTTTTAAATTTCGGCTATATAATATTAATAAATGTGACAAATGCAAAAGGAAAACCATCGGTTATATAAAAGTATAACTCCAACAGATAATAATAATTCTCGATAAATTTATATACTGTGTTTGTCACATTATCGCACATTCTTAATATTCCGCTTTTTATCTCAAATCAAAAGAAGAGTATTTATATATACGCAATTCGATAATCTAATCGCTCAAAAAATAAAAAGTGACAGAAAATTCTGTAAAACAATAATCTACATAGCAACAAAAGATGATCGTAAAAAAGCACCCGACAAGCTGCATTATTGTAAATAAGCTAAAAAATTCTAGAGAGAATTTGCGAGACGAGCGTGCAAGGAACGTCGCGGATGTAACCTATATGAAAGACGCGGAAGACGAAGTTATCGCGTCCCAAAATGAAGCAGCGACTCACGCTTCTTTGTATCACATCGTAGAAATCCTTTTGTAGATTCGTCACGAACATGTTGCGACCGTTTACGACGCGCGTAACATTGCAGGTTTTGCGAGACGCTTTCGCACGAAGGTCTCGGCATGGGCGATTTAGCGCGAAAATCCAAACCCACGGGATCACAGGGCGTTCGGTTGCGCGCGACGACGACGACGACAACGACAGGCCCGCAACCGTCACCGTCGCGTCGACGGCAGGTTACCTCCATAACTAACGGGATCCGATATCTACTTACGCGCGAGCGAGACTGAGTCTTGACTATTTTCGATCGAGATCGACGAACGTGATTCACGCGCGATCACTCGTGTCCGCGCGGATTTTACAAACGCCAGAAACAATGATCAATAGTTTTTCATAACAATTTGTAAACAATGCTGCTGTAATCGATAACGGATTCGAGACTAATCGAATCACGTTCGATTCGACGCACTCGTTTGGCTGCGTTCCACCCGACGCTCGTGAAATCGCGTCATACTTGTCGTTCACCGAAAGTTGAACAAAGACGGACATGATTAAAGATGTCACCTTTTTGATGCGCGCGCGAATTTATTTGCAGTCCCTAAAAATTTCTCCAACAACGAGAGAAATATTTGAGCGTTAGAGAGAGAGAGAGAGAGAAAGAGAAAGAGCGAGTAATGTAAACTTTGTATCATCGACAATGATGTTTATTTTTGAAAGTAATGGTACAATTATATACACTCGAGAGAGAGTAGACTCCAAAGAGAAAAGCGTCAAAGCGTCCATTCTGTACATTTCCAAATATTTTTCTATTTTTTTTTTCACACTTTTCTCCTTTTATTATTGTTGAAAAAAGCCTCTTTAAACGCAATGCGTGAGATTGATCACGCTTCGTTCGAGAGACGAGATGCATCGCGCATCGCGCCGATCGCGGCATTCTTCATGGCGGCGTTACTGATTTCGGTTCGTGTCACTGGCGACCGAGAAAATATCGACGCGTAACGCGTTAATAAGATTGATTAAATCGCGATCGAAGCTCAAGATGGAATTAATCCGAAGCGTATGGAGAAAGTCTTCTTTCGTGTACAAAAGCGGCGCGCAGTGTTTAACTTTGAGACACAGGTGTATACCATTTAAATCCTCTTGTAACCTCAAAATATGTCGCGCATGAATCATATATTACGTTTTAATACCGAATAACAAATAGATGTAACGCGTTGGACGATAAAAATATTTCGTGAAAGTTAAATCACCCGTCAATTTACACGACGATGACATTGTTTCAGCGGCACTACAACGTCAAACGTAGCCGAGGTAGCGGTGTTTTCACGGGACGGAGACTCTGGATTGACAATCACGGATGCCGGGGACACGAAGCCAAAGGACGATAGGATCTTCAACGCTCTCGGGGCGACCGACGAGCTGTCCTCTTACATAGGATTGGCGAGAGAATTCGCCTGCGATGGAAAGGTCGAACATCCGTACGTCGATAAGCTTAAGAGAGTGCAAATGATCTTGTTCGATCTAAGCCACGCCATATCCAAGTCGGTGCCTGGGAAGACCAGATCTTTCGAGAGCAAGCATACCAAAGACCTCGAAGAGTGGATTCTCGAATATGCGAATCAACTTCCTCCTCCGGAAGATTATATCATTCCAGTAATTATTTAGATATTATAAAGATTTTTACAGATTTTCATTCCGTTAACTCGATCCAATATTCTTGCATTAGGGCGGTGGAAAAGCATGCGCTTCCTTACACGTTGCACGAACGGTATGTAGGCGGGCGGAGAGAAGTATTACGACTCTAGTGCGAGACGGCGCTCTGGATAAAGAGGCGCAAACATATTTGAATAGATTATCAGACTTCCTGTTAACAGTGTCACGCATCGCGGCCAAATGTGATCAACGTACGGAAAATATTTATATTCCACGAGCAGAAGTGATGGAGGAGAAATAAAAGGACTGAGATTTAGAAATTTTTCTAGAATCTACAATGATTTTTTTTTTGCACCAAAAATGTATAAATAGTTTATAGCTATATATGGCGATTAAAGTATGCCATTTAGAGAATGACTAAACATCCTGATGGAATTAATTGCTTCCTGTTTGTTTTCAAATCTTTACGTAAAGTTTGTTGTTTATCAGACGATGTATATTTTGCAGCGACTGGATATCTATTGCGGTACATATATCTTAAATTGACAGTTTCAAACGATAGAATTATAAATAGAAAGTGCACTGCGTGTAATTGTTATAGTTACAATCTTAAAAAAAAATATTGCAGTTTTTCCAGTCGGAATATATCGTGAGAAAGATACTAGCTGTACGACGTATATATATATATATATATATATATATGTAGATAAAATTTACTCGAATAAGACTTGTAAATATACATATGGAAATGATTTTAACAACCATACTGTTCTTTACTATTTATGTTAAGAGTTCTTCTCCTTCGATTACTTCATTTAAATTAACTAATTCTAATAAAGCGGTACCCTTTGTTTCCGATCGTACCGTTTCATCTATTCCTCTATATTGACCTGGATCGATTAAGCAAGTAATCGTTAACGATCCGTTTTCCCATTTCTCTGTTTCCATTTTAGTTATAAATTTAACGATTTTGTCCTTTAATTTTCTCGCTTCTTTTTCTGGAATAACAATCCTGAGTCTCATTTGGGCGCGTTCCAGAGGCATCACTTCTTTTAATTGCGATATGACATCCAGCGCCTGTTGTTTGGCATTTCGATTAGGTTTGACGGAAAAATGTATTTCTTCTCGCATGGCGTTCTCGATCATAGAAACTGGATATGGATGTTTAGTTTCTGGATTTATGCACTTGCTGGCGACGGTCGTGGCAATATCTTTGAACATGGAGTCTAATGCTAAATGCCTTTCTTTATCGGAAACTTGAAGTTCGCCTTTTGCAAGAATCTGTTTACATATTTCAGTCTGATCGTCGATACCAAAAGCTTTTACGAGATCTTCCTTCTTTGCCACCTGACCCTTTGATACATTAGTGAATATTGTGTGCGTTTGTAGTACTTCGTCGATGTCTTTCTCCCTAAAATATATTTCACAAAGAAATAATAAATACAATAGCGCATTTTACATTCAGTTTTGCAATTGAATGATAAAAAGAGATGCTTTGAAAAGCAGCATACTAGAGATAAACAATGCGCTACGACTTAATCTTAGATGACGATTCGATAAACATTAATGAAAAGATATCGAGAATGTAAACTATTGTAATAAATAAAAAATAAAAAACAAAAAAAAAACGAGATACTATCTAATAGATAAAATTGTTAAGATTATATAAGCAAATATTAATTTTATAAGGATAATAACCTTTTATGCGAACATTTAAAAGAAAAGAAGTGATACATGTATACATAGATGGATATCATTATCGGTCTATTTATCATCGACACTTACAATTTATTTCTCCAGGATATTACTTTATTCTTGTAACAGGCAATTTCGAATCGCTTGCCACCCTTTTTCATGCGAACGACAGCAACGTTCGTCAGTCTTATTTGATTCGTCGGTGTAAATATTTTCGACATTTTTCAAGCGAATTCTAGAAAATCGACCCAACGTATCAGCTATTTCGAAATATCTATCTATCGATAAAAAAAAATCTCATCTCTGTCGTCTATTTTTATTTACGCTTTGAGAGATGTTGCAAACACTATTACATTAAAATTACGCGACTCACATGCGCGATGAGTGATCAGTTGCACTAGTCAGTTGACTCGCACCGCTCGCACGTCGCATACGTGCAATGAGAGAAACAGCTGATTTAAAAAACGAAAGATTCGGAGTTGATTGGAAGATGTTCAGAAAATCTACTCGTGACGTAAAATAGATTTTAATTGACCAATCAGGAGCGAAGATTTCTTTACTCCGATTGGCCAATTAACGTTATTCTAACCTATGAGTAGAATTTCCGAATACACCCTAGATGCCGCGTCGATGCAAGTAAGAAGGCGGTCATCGTAAATGTACAACGGAATAATTATTTCACTATATAAATACTATACGTTGCTTTTTTCATTTAATGTTTATCGATAAGGATATTCTTCTTTTTCCATTTTAAATTGTTGGAATCCTTGTCCAGAAAAAGATAGGGATGCGAGCAGTGTAAAAACCGTTGGCATTATTTGAAAAGTAAAAAAAAGGTATGGACAAAAAAAAATGATAAGAGATTAGAAAATATTATAACAAATCATTATGGGACAGCAGCCTTGTGTATAAATGGACAAAATAAAACGTTTGTTTTCGTTTAATAAAATCTCTACTTTTGACATGATTATGTCACTTGCTTTATTTAATAAGCAATTTACATCTCTATTATTAAAGAAACTCTAATATTCTTCGTTTTCATCTTTGGATATTTAAATATTGTCTGAAAAATCACTCAAATATACACTTTATTTATTTCTTATATATTTTTTTGTATAACTTGTAAATATGTTTTTTTACTAACAATCGGTAAGTTTTAAAGTTCGATTGCGCGAATTCATTTTACCAGAGATTGTCAAGTACGCTCGCGTTGAATCATCGCGAGCGTCAAACGATAAATTATTTATCGGCGAGCGGGGGAAAAATGGATTCGAAAAAAAAAGAAAAAACCCTGCGCAATCCTCGTATACAACATACGAAAACAGGAATTCGTCGCGCGATCATCGTAAACACGCGATAATAAGGTGATCTATTCGGCGCGCATGTCGAACCGCGAGGCGAGGCGGGGAGGGGGAAGAAGTCGGCGGCGGCGGCGCGCGCGTGCGCGGGACGGCCGTCGATTGTATCAAACATGGCCGCGAGCGTGATACCGTCAAAGGTGCGCGAAAAATGACGGCTTGTCCGCGCTCTTGACGGCGCGATCGTTGACGTGCGCGCGCGAGAACAGTGTCGAGCGAGTGTTTGTCGCGTGCAACGCGACGTGCCGCGGGACGACGCGACGCGAGGCGACGCGACGCGACGCGCGGCGTCTTTGTGCCGCGTCTCATCGCCATGGCGCTGGTCACGGTGCAACGTTCCCCGAGCGTGTCCAGTTCCCCGCAGAGCTCGGTGAGTCTCGTCCATCTCTCCTCGTCGTAGTTGCGCGTAGACGCGTGTCTCTCGAGTGGCTTGGGCGCGTAACGATAATCGTGCCGTTCCGAGGGAACGCGATTGTTACGTCGCGATTGTCGCCGCCCCCCGCGCTCGCTCGGCCGCGGCTCAACCGGCCGCTCTACCTTATTTGGCGGTGCTCCGACAGCCGAGCGAGAATGGGATAATGGGAATCGGGATTGGAATCGCAAGTTTCCCCGTAGCCGTCTCTCGGGGCGCGCGCGACGCGCGATTCTCTCGACCGGCGCGGAAAGCGCGCCGAAACAAAGAGAGACCGTCTCTCGTAGCGTAAACAACAACGCAAGGCGTAGGGATTGCTCGTTCCCGTCAAATTCCGTCCTCGTCCCGAGGAAGATTGTGTCGTACGACTTTTTTTCGCTTCCCGCTCGTCGCTTTCGCTTTCCGCTTTCGCACGATCGTCCCATTGATGGATTTCTCTCACGTAGTGGAGGACGATTTTGTAATTCAATTGTCTCTCGGCGATCTCGTATTTATTGACGTTGGCGAGATACTTTCACGATCGAGGAACGTGCCCGACGAGATGAAAGTTGGAAGGCGCGTATTTTTTTCTCCCGTCGTGGAGCGCGCGAGCGACCGACGAGTGATTATGCGCTTCCGTAGCGCTGATAATAGTGTACGCGAATGATAATTTCGTGGTTTCGTTTCCTGAAATGGTGGAACCGTGCAATAGATGACAGACGGATTTTTTTTTCTTTTTTTTTGTTTATCAACGCCGTTGCAATCCGTCGAGCGATTGATTTGCTATCGGATATCATTGTCCATTGTCGAATCATATCGCATAATTTCAAAAATTGATTCCAATTGTAGGGTAAAGTCACACCGAGTCAATTACATTATTATCAATTTTTAATTTTTTAATGTAAAAGGTATTGTATGCGTATATAATGTATGTAATAGTGGAATAAAATAATGAGATGTAATAATTTATTTTATGGACGATAATAATATGGTTGAACGTCCCTTTTCCCGTATATTTGTTTATAAATTATTTTTTATACATTTTTAATTTTAATTATTTCTGTAGAATGCTACTTCGAATAAAATTGTTTTCGGTTTCACTTTCAGTCGTCAACATCTAATAAATGAAATTACAATAAATAACAACAATTATTTATCCCTGGGATTCGATAAAAATAATGATCTTAATTTCTGATGAAAACTTTGAATTTTTCAAAAATTTCTCGATACTTTTAGGCTACTTTATTTACAATCTTGCGTGTTCCTACTACTTGATTGATTTCCATTATTAAGCCATCGGAAATCGCGTGTTGTATTAAACGATAAATTTATCGCAAGAGATCTCGCGTCGCTTGATTTTCACGCCGGTCATCGCAAATTCTTTCGCACTCTTGAACTCTTTTTCCGCAAGCGGGTGCCCTTCGGCTACCTACGGCGCGACCTTTCGTTCGTTGGCGTCATCGCCTCTCGACGCGACCTCCGCGCGCTCCGAGGGGTGAGACGATCGACGCCGCGGAGGGCGGAGGCGCTGCCGATCCCTACGTCACAACGTCGCACGCTCGCGCGTCGCAGTCGCAGCCGCAGCCCTCCTCGGCCTCGGCCTCGGCGCGACGACCGACGACGACTGACTCGCGATCAGTTGGTCCGCCGCCGCCCGCCGCTCGACGAGTGGCTCGACGAGTGTTTTATTTGTAGCGAACACGATTTTCGGTCTCGAAACGAAAAGCTTGCCACTCTTTTAGCGATGGCGTCGAGCATAATTATTAGATGCAATTGTCCGAGAGACGATCGAGTTGAAATTGATTTATAACCGATAATCTTTCTCCGCGATAAAAGTTTGCCACTTTTTCTCTTTTTATTTTTATCGCTTTAAACGCAAGGACACGACGATGTAACTTCTTGATTGATAACGTTATTATTATCGCTGCACGCTCTACCGAAGAATAATAGATCGGGAACGATCGCGGGAACGATCGCGGGAACGAACGGTTGCAAAGTGATACAAACGACACACATTTTTACAACATTGTTACAAGAATGTTGGGACTCTTCTAAATCGCTCGCACCAATTTGACACCGCGAGCCGTACTCTAGTTGACAAACTTTCACACCTCACGTAAAGGAAAATTCTGTGATCGCGCGTAATTGCATTCGCGTGTCGGGAAAAAGCTTTTGTCGATACATCGCGAGGCATGATCGCTCTGAAGCAGAAAGCTTCTCTACATTACGGTCTGCCGCCGCCACCGGCGCCCCAGCCACCCTCGCCCTGGTCCAGCATACTCTGGGGCGACGATCCGCGACCTCACGGACGAAGAGTCGCGTGTGGCGTACGCGTCACGCAACTGCGGAACAAAGTAACTGCAAAAGTAAGCAGCCTTCGTGCCAGCAGCGCTGGCTCCGTCATTTTTTCGATTGTTTATCTAGCTCGATCACGCTACGTAGCGAACCTTGCGCGTTATTCCTAGTATTACTGTACTGAATAAAAATCGGGTCGGAAATGCTCCGATATCTCGTCCTCTTGAGAGAAAACTACGCGTGTAGATGAGTAAGATTATCACTATATTATACATAATACTGTACAACTTTCAGATTTTATGAATGGATTCCTTGATCGATTTTAAAGTTTATCTTGCTTTAACAAATATTTATATTATTAATATAAATATCTCTGTTATATATATATATATATATATATATATATATATACAGAGTCTACCAAAAGTGTGGAAACCCCTAAATATCTCGGAAAATATACGTTTTACAGAAAAGTGTTTCCAACAAAAGTTGTAGGGTTTAAGAAGATCTATATACTGATTCTATCAGTTTGACCTTGGATGGCGTCGTCAAGGTCAGGTCAAGGTCACATTGACTTTTTTAAATGACACCCCCTACATTTGATTGCATATTCTTATAGCTTAATTCAAGAGCTTTCCAAAACACTATAATAAAATATTTTTCCCTCAAGCATTTATCGAGTTATGAGGCTTCAAATCATTTCTTAATTTTACATAAACCGTAAAATATCTTGTAAAATATTCACTTTTCGATTATTTTACCTTAATACTTTTATGTACAAAATAATGAGAGGAATCAATTGGTGTAAAGAAAACATACAGTTGTTTTTAAGAAAAAATATGGAATTGTTAATTGCAAATTACATATTTTTTCTTAAAAACAACTGTATGTTTTCTTTACACCAATTGATTCCTCTCATTGTTTTGTACATAAAAGTATTAAGGTAAAATAATCGAAAAGTGAATATTTTACAAGATATTTTACGGTTTATGTAAAATTAAGAAATGATTTGAAGCCTCATAACTCGATAAATGCTTGAGGGAAAAATATTTTATTATAGTGTTTTGGAAAGCTCTTGAATTAAGCTATAAGAATATGCAATCAAATGTAGGGGGTGTCATTTAAAAAAGTCAATGTGACCTTGACCTGACCTTGACGACGCCATCCAAGGTCAAACTGATAGAATCAGTATATAGATCTTCTTAAACCCTACAACTTTTGTTGGAAACACTTTTCTGTAAAACGTATATTTTCCGAGATATTTAGGGGTTTCCACACTTTTGGTAGACCCTGTATATATGCATGCATGTATGTATGTGTGTGTAACTTATATTTCTTAATATTAAATATCTTGAAAAGCCTTAAATTAAAAATCTATTACAATCCATTTTAAATTAAATGAAAAATAATAATCTCGACGAGCAATAAAAATATCTATACTTATCTCCAACTTGCGCGCGACGAGCTATAATTTGTAAATAACCATCGATGTATCGCTATTTTCATGGAGAAAAAATTTATTTCAAATTTAATAAAGAATTTACTTTTAAAATGGCTTCTACATTATGATATATTGTGCTCATTATAAAAATAAACAGATTTCTTTCGTTTATTAAATTTGTTTGAAATAGAAAGAAAAAATTTGTATTTATCAGAGTATTATATTGTTAGATTTATATTGTTTTTAAAAAATTTTGAAAAGAAAGACGTTTAGGAGACTAGACTCTTATACGTTTAACTTCTTTATTTTTAGGATATTGGATACATTTTTTGTTATGAAAATTTATTACAGTCACAAATACTCGTGACAAGTTAGTGTATAAAGTAAATTAAGTTTTGATGAGTTTAAAAATCTGCGAATCGCGGAGATACAAGTATAATAACAATTTCTGTAAAGATAATTGAAGCGAACAACGACCGTTACTCGAATTAATCGCATACTTTTCTTCGAGGATAATCAAGATGTACGATAACGGGGCATGCTAAGCAACACGCAAATTACATCGAGTAGAGAAAGTCATTTTAACGACCATACGACATTATGGACACGCGTATATTTTGTGCATATTAGCACGCAAAGGCATAAGTCGCCACACAAGGTATTAATAATTATGAGGCAGACTACTTAAAATTGGGTAAGATTATGTTTTCTATCATTGCACGTGATATACTCTGCGTGACTTTTATGTATTTCGGTGAATGTAATTATTTTTTTTTCGCTAACAAATCAGTTCATTTCGTTGACGCGATAAACTGTATCTCAATTATAAATGTGATTACATTTGTGTCAAAGTACTTGTACGCAAAAAAGAATTAACGAGTTTTAAAACAATTGGTGATAAAATAAGTTTAAAATAGAAAAAAATAGTTTCTTTTTCTAAAATACAAATTTTGTTTTTACATATAATAGTACTACTTTACATAATGCATTTTTTATAAAGAGTTTTATAAAGATTTTAATTTAAAATCATTTTGTAAAAGCATAAAAAATTAATAACATTTTTAATATTTTTAAGAATTAAAATTACGCACTTGTAATTAAAACATTATACACTTACAAAGAGTGATTCATCTATCTATTTGGATATGTATTTATCACCTCGATTTTGCACAAATTCTCATGCGTAACTGTTGTGTATTGTTCGTCACGTACAAGCCGTGCTTGCTTTTTTTAGCCTTCTTAATTAAGCAATGGTGCAATTAAGCATTAAGATAGATCGACACGTAACCGTTGTAACACTAATTTATGTGCAATCCAGTTATATTGTTAGAAAGCACATTATAGGATCCGAAAGTGTATTCTCTGTTTCCTTAGATGGTATCTCTGTATTATATTCTCTTTTTGTTACGTATTTTGGACATGCGCAATTATGACAAACGATACATTATGAACTTTGTTAAAAAGTGAAAGTTTCCTTAATTCATTATTAATATCGTTATTATTTTGATTTATGATACGTATTGAATTTTCTATTATTATAAAGTAAATTTTATTAAATCTATTTTGCTTTAAAATCTTATTTTTTTTAAATAAATGACACATATTATTTAAATATGCTCTAATATTTGAATTTGTTGACTATTTGTTACGAAAAGCTGTATGTTTTTAACATTGACTTTTTACAAATTCAATTATTTTATTTTGAGTTATATATATTTTCGTAACATGATTAGTGCTTCAGGGTTTTGTTTTAATTAATGGACATAACTGCGCATAAACAGCTAAAATATATTTTTTGAGCGCAGAGTCAACTAAGCTAAAAGATTATGCATTGAGCAATCCTAAAGAAACGACAGATGGAATTATCAAGATTTATACGCGCTGATGCGGACATAAATGATCTTTGATACACAAGAGAGGTCGATATTACTCGAATCATATACGTGAAATTTTCTTTGAATTTATATCTGACGATGCATTTTTATGGAGCTTTTGTTTAACGATATGTGCATAGTTACATATATCTGTTGTTTCGTTATCTACGAAATATTAATTACTCCCTTTTACAATGTCCTGTTATTGTGATCTCTGATTTATAAAGATGGAATAAAAACAACATGTGTTAAAGTCGAAATCGAGACTATTTTCGCACAAAGACAAATATTTAAACAGAGAAATCTGACGGTCTAAAGTTATATAATACACGTATCTGAAACGATGCGAATTTCAGATTACAATTGCATTCGAAACTGACGACTGGCGAAACGCGGATGCGAGATTTGCGATCGCGTACGACAATATTCAAACGATCCCAGATGAATTACCTCGCATTTCTCTCAATGTTTATATATGTATACATTAGCTCTCGATACATTCACCTTAATAGAGATACCCTACCACATGTATGTGCAGTTGATTTCGCTTTCTCACGATATATTCATGAGAAATTCTTCAATGATTTTTCTTAAACATTGATACAATCTCGACAAGTAAAGCATATTGATCGATATAAGATAAAGCTATTGGAGTTGATTAATATTGAGTATAAATTTATTTTGAGATAAGATAAAATGTAAATGTCTTATCTTTTATTTCATAATGTGTGATTTGATGGAAAATGTAATTATTTCTTACAAAATTTATACAACCGTAACATTTGATATAATAACATAGAGTTATCAATCCTACCCTGTTTTTTGTCAAAAGAAAAGTTAATAGCAACGTATATTTTGCACATATTTAGATCGTTTAAATATCACGTAATAAATATAATTTATTTGGCAGTTTATCTGTATAGCAGTAATCGCATAATGCGATAACCTAATCAAAATGACGAAATAATTAACATTGACCAGGTAATCTGTGGTATCAGTCATTTGCTTTCTCAAAATAAAATAATTTCGCAAATCATTTCATACGCATAATTTGAACATATATTTCCTCAATAAATCAAGTCTCTTCTAGTATTAAAAATTGTTGTTACATGACAAAATTGTGACTACAATTATTATTTCACATTGTGAAAAAATTTTTATTAACGTGTACGTTTATTCCACTTTTATGAATCGGAATACAAATAAGTTACAAATAAATTACATATTAATAACATTACAATATTAATATAAACATAAATTTGTTGTAATGTTCTGGAATATCAACAAATTGCTAATTTTAATAGTTACATTTAATTACTCCCATTTTTTCATGGGAGAAAACATGAAAACTAGCATGAACATTGCTATTTTCGAAACTCCCTGTACATGCAGTAGCTTGAACGTATCTAGAACTGTGCCCCTTGTTTATTGTGAGTAAAAGTGAAGATGAGTGGGAAGTGTACTGGAAAGGTCATGTGTCGTAATACAACGCTCAGACTTACTTCTTGAAACGGTACTTTAAATCATTTCATGTAAATGCTATTATATTCTCACAACTTTTAAAACACCTTAAATATTTTTAATGCAACGTGCAAAACTATGTATTTACTTCTTTTTTTTTTCTAAAATCTGGAAATATTGCAAAAATGTTATTGATTCTGGGCTAAAGTAATATTGATGTAATAAAAAAAAGTATACTCCCACATGATTCGAATTAAATTGACTGATGAATTTGGAAATGAAAGATTGTGTGAAGAGTATTGAAAAATTAGAAATGCTTATAATGGTAGCGGCGAATTCACTTTGTATCGCCTGCTGCTGTGCATTCTCTGTGTATTCGCCTTGAAAGCCACAATTAAAAAAGCTGTGGACCTCAACTGCTCCTTCCTTCTCGCCTTGTGTCTCTCTCTCTCTTTCTCTCTTGCATCAGCCAGGCGCAATCTTCCTTTCAGCAAATGAAAGGTTCTATTTTAAGCTGCGCTAAGGCAAGATTGGAAAATTGTACTGCGCTTCTATAATAGAGAGAGCGCGTGCGTGTTTTATGCATTCACACGATCAATTTTCTTAACCGCGATTGTAAAATATCTTCTTCGAGGATAATTCCAGAATATTATATTTTGCATATTTTGCATTTTAACTGAAAGAATGTCTTAAACTACATAATATTGATGAATATTTTTGAAATTTTAGTATCTGAATTTATATGCTGAAAATATATTTAGCTGAACGATATTACGTAATAGCTAACTGCCTTTATATAGTGATTATAATTTGTAATTGTGTCCGTGAAGATAAAAAATATTTCTATTCTTTGGAAATACTCTACATAAAATATTTTTTTGTTAATTTTTCATAGCCTAAAGTTGTGTTTGGTATTTATCCAAGCACAATTTTGATATATTTTATTTTACTTACTATACATTTTAGCGCGAAAAAAATCTTTAAAAATAAAAAAAGAAATGAACATTTCGTAAAGACTTTAATAAAGTAAAGTTAAAATAGAGATAATGTTAAGATAATTAAGATGGATATATATACATTTGCAACGTGATTTTTCTTTGTCGATGCGTAAATTATAAAAATTATTGCATTGCAATTTTTCTAGTATATCGTATTTATGCGAAAAAACATTCTCGAGGACAATTCATTTTGCTCGCTTGTCGAGCATCCTTGGTTTCGAGGGACTAGAAAGGGGTTGCCCTATCGTGCGCTTTGCATGTAGAGCATTAAGTGCACTTAATATACGAAAGGGCTAGTTGCATTTTTTTAACGTTGCGGTACAAGGGTGGCCTTGGGCTCCTGGTCGTCTATTGATTTCGAGGGTTCGTTTTCCGCGTGACTGTGCGCCACGGCGCAGGATTCGAGCTCTTCGTATCCTCTTTTGATATTTACGATGTACTTTATTAATAAAAGAGCTATCGCACACGGGCGCGTAGTCTACATGCAGCCAAATGACGCGTGGAAATGTCTCGTTACATTATATATGGGAGAAGCGATATAAAGCAACGCTATAAATTTTGCTATAATATATTAACTTCGCGTATCGAGAGAGAGAGAGAGAGAGAGAGAGAGAGATAAAAACGAAATTACTTTTTACATATCCATTGATGTATAAATACATGTAATAAACATTTTAGGTATAACATGCATTTATTAAAGTAAACACATTATATTTATATTAGTTGTTTATACTAGGTATTAATTAAATTATTAAAGTAATTTTAAAAAGTTATTTTAATAATTTAATTAACAACTAGTATAAATACAAATTTCAAGAATTACAAATTACTATTTTATTCAGATTTTATTCAGATTAAAAAATATTTAAAACTTTAGGCAGTCAGATTTTATTCAAATATATAAAAATTATGAAAATAATTTGCCAATTTAATGTAATGAAGAATAAAATGGAGATTAAAAAATAATCTATCTAAAGTTTTAAATGAAAAATTACCGATTATAATGCATTTCAAAAGTAATTCTCAACTAAATAAAAAAAAAATAGATTCAAAGATTTGGTTACATAGTTTTATTTATTTGAGTCAAGATCGGTTTGAATACTAATAAAAAAAAAAATGGTTCATTCATCAACACGGAAAATTTTTATTTGCCAAGTATAAAATTGCCAATTTCTTTCCAACATTTCTGTTTTTTACGGCAAGTTTGTTTGCACTGCCAACAATGTTTCATCAGAGTTATATAAACTTTCGAATTGAGTGTTTGCGCAGTTTTTTCGGTAGCTTGCTCTATTGTCTTCGAATATACGACTGTTTGCCGTTCTGACGTTTCGTTGTGGTCACGATGCCTCAATTATCTTCGGATAGAAGGGAAGGGAAGGAGGGCGAATAAAGGCTTGTTCGTGTTTTTTTCGTCATGAAATTATTGACATAATTTCACATCTACGTTGTCTTTTTTTGGCACTTTTACCGCAAATTATTAACGCTGCGAATTGGCTAAATGAGAAAAGACGAAGCACAAACAAGATGAGAATTTTGCCTTATTAATTATTAATTTTTTAAAAATTATATTATTAAATGATAAAATCGTGATTTATATAACGTTGGATCTTCAATTTTTGAGGATTAATGCTAAAAGTAAAGTTCCTTTTATTAAAGATATTTTTGTACGTTATAAGATGACATAAAAATTATTGTATTTTTTAGGATTCGGGAGCAGGTGCACCGGCTGATGACGAGGATACTACGAGAAGCTGCAAAAGGTAAATGCTTATACAAATGATTATTAATGTTTTTCACGCAAAATAGGCTACTTCTATTAGAATATAGACATGGTAGGCAATAATAGATATTTTGATAAAAGAATGTATGTAAAGTTACTTCTTGTGCACGAAACAATACGAAAATATACAATAAATCAGAGATATTTCAAAATATCGTTTTTTCACCGAAACGCGTAAATTATACGTTAAATTATACATTATTCTCGCAATATCGTCCTATCGAGCAATCTTACTCCGACTTTACGATATCTCAGCGAACTCGGCAACACCCTGTATAAGCGAGTACGTATATGTACCCAGTTTCAACGATGATAAGATCGAATTACACACAAGACCATTAAGTGTGTGCGACTTGGTGGAGACTTCGTGTCTCATCTCGCACACAGAATGTTTTCGCGGCTGGTCTTGTCGCTTGTCACCGTAACTACTGGCTACCGGTTTCGAAAAGCGCGAAATTAAGCGAAATTTAACACGAGCACAGGTTAATAAGTCGTGATAAGCGACAAACGATAGCTATCTCGACTGGTAGCAGTTCTCTCTACGAGTAATTTGCTCTCCCGATTGCTTTACCGATCATTGAAAGTACGATAGGCGTTCGGTCGGCTTTCCAAGGATAACTGTCTCGATATCTGATAAAACTCTCCTTATGCAGTTTCTGCGGAGATGGTATGGACTCGTACGTATTTTATTTGTTTTTTTTCCAAAAATAAATTTTTTTCGCGAAAATAACGATCTCTCGCGGGAACAGCGGGGTGAGGAGTATCCGAGATGCATCTAATACTTTTATTAATTTAACCGCTCACAGTGCCGTGTTTCAGTCTGTTTATATTCTTGGAGACAAGTATCAGTGTAGTGTAACGATGAACACTGGTCTTATCGCTATGCGAATGGATACCTAATCTGAAATTAGTTTACTTTATACGCGTCTCCGAGATTTTATCTCGAGATCCTTTTCTTTGAGCTCAGGCGGCTCGTTATTTCTGCATTAATAATTGTTTCGCGATGCAAGAAAGTTTCGTTAAACGTTAAAATAATAATACAATTGTACAAAGATAGCAAAATATGTAATATTTAAAATAATGACAATAACTTGAAAATAATAACTTCTTTAAATATTTATATATCTTTGTATTTAATTATTTCATTCGTATGAATTGCAATTATAAAAATACAGCTAATTATTTTCTGAAATACCTTTCGGCTTTACAAAAGGAAGATAATATTAAAAATACATAAAAATATGCAAATGTATATTGTAATATGTTTCCGGGCTCTTTGTAATCAAGTAATTTAATACTTTGATCTGGGAAAATGAGATGTGGATGCCAAAGTCGTGAAATGAAGATGATAAATATCTCTCTATTCTTTACGAATCAGCTGTATAGTCGTCTAACGTTCAACAATCTCTTCCGGGCGAAAGGTGCTTATTCGCGCGAAAATACAATTGAAATTCGCGATTGTCGCTGTCGGTCGCGCTCCCGGAACCGCGTCGATTATTAAGCAGGAAATAACGAAGAGCGAGAAAACGCGGCGTAGCGTTATTTAATCAACGATGAAACGAGATTTCTTCCTCGTGGAAGCGCGTCTTGGCTTCCTCCTTCGAGACGTCGCTTCGTCGTTATAATTCGCTTAACTCGATTTCGATCTTCCCCGGAGGAAAGCGGTGCGTGCTCGCGCGTGCGAATTTCCTGCCTCTCGGATGCGGAGCAGCATCGCCAATCTCATACGCGCGAATGTATATGTACGATGGCAGGAAATCCCCGCGGAACCGATTCATTCTGGGACCGTCGCCGTCTTCGTCGTCGTCGTCGTCGTCATCGTAGAAGGCTTCGCTCTTAATCGTCTGACTTTCTATCGTGCGTTTGCGTAACATCTCGCGCGCTCGCGGATCGTAACGTTACGTTACGCGAGAAACGTAATCGAAGTCTTCATTGTTGGAGAGAAGAAAAAAATCTTTCTCCTTGTGTGTAACCGGATATTAAAAAGACTCTGTCTCTAACGAAGGGTCGCGATCGTGGGAGAAATTCAATCGCGGATATTGAAATGCGAATGAGAGAAATTGCTAAGATTTTTTTCATACGATTAAATGAAAATATAAATGGAAGGAATATAATTTCTGTGTATTGATTCTGGAATAAGCGAGTCGTTAATTATATACTTTTTTTTTAATAATAAATTATAATGGATTTTTTTAATAATTAAAAAGATTTAAGAATGTAACTTTTAAAGCTTGATTTTATTATCCTTTCCTTAATAATTTTGCTAAAGAAAATGGATTTGAAAATCATGAAAAATCTATTATTCATTCACAGTTTTATTAATATTAAAATGGCATTCCATTTATATTTTGTGATTTATTCCGCGTCACGAATTCCCGATCGTTTTCAATTTCAGATAAAGCATTATTATTTATACCAATATATCACGAATTATTATGTGCTTTCCCGCCTATTTCATCTCTGTATGGAAAAGTCGATTTCTAGGCAATTAATATCGTAATATAATACTCTTCATTCGGTCTTTAACTTGTGGCAGCACCGATGCCCGCTTGCTATTTTTGACTAGATTGTTCGGAAGGCACATTTCAGCAGGGCACGTATCCGATACGTGACCTTTTAACTCAGCTAAAGTTCAGACCACTGCCAACGTAAAGTCTTGCGAAGCTATTCTAGAAGAAGAGGTTGATTTTGCAATGCACCTATTAATTCGTCATGAGAATTTAAATATATATATATATATATATATATATATATATATATCTGTTGCCTCATTAATTTTTTATATAGTTTTATTGTGCCCGCATTTGTTTCCCAAAGTACGTTTAAATTTTAAGTCTCGTAACTTGGCGATGCATATACACATATATATTCAAAGTTTGGCATGTATAAAATGTTATAAAGTTATTTATATCATTTATTACGTATCATAATTTACAAATAACATGTATGATTAGTTGTAATTATGGGTGATTGGAAAAATGTTGCGTTAAATATACCAAAATATACATTTGTTGATAATTTTTAAATATTTTTGTGTGTCGACGATAATATACATGTATGTATATATAAACCTGATTGAATTATATATTCAAAATTATTCTTAATAATTTCTTACAGTCTTAATATTTCGCCGTTTAATTAAAACATTTATATTTCGTTAAATTCATTACCTTTGACAAACAAAATGCGCAAGATATCAATTACAGAACGTAAACAGTGTCAAAGTAATTAAACTGATATCGCGATACTGATATAGATTTATAATTGCAATTAAGTCTAGCCCTCGTCGCCCAAGGGGCAGAAGCGCTTATATAGTAGATACCGTATAGTCAATAGTGCAATTATCATTAATTGCGATCTGCAATCGCGAACGATGCTTATTTCACAACTCTAGTACGATGATTCGAATCGCGTGGGTGAAACTAATGCCACTTGTTTCTATAACTTTCGAGATTTAGTAGCGGCGTCGCGGGGAGAAAATAATCGATAGCATCGATGCGATAAATGAACGCTTTGATTATAAATTTGATTAAATATATATTATTATATACGTTTATATTTTATACATGTATATGTATAAATATAAATTTCACGTCCTCAATTTTCACAGAAATTTTGACACAGCCGCAATACGACGTTAAATATCATTTCGCTTCGACAACAACTGGCGATGCGTTTTCCTTTCACGTTCCCTATGGCCTGCCATAAATTTAGAGCCCGACCGCAAACTCATTAGTGTCCGTGACGGGGGGTAGACGTTGCCCTAACTTGTTCATAATTTTCTACACGCCTCGTCGCCTTTGCCACGAAGAACGGAAATTTCGATCGCTCGTTGTAAGAAAAAGAAAGGGACATCCGGCTTATGGTTCAGCTGCAATCTCGTGCGTATTCGACGCTGTCCTAATTTTCCGTGTCGTATCGGTCGGATGGACAATTGTAAAGGCCTATTTTACAGTCGTAGAGATCGCAAGACTTTGTTGCCTTTAAGGCAACAAGTTATCTCCAATTATCTAGTGTTTGCGATTTCGATATGTCTCGCGGTAACAATTCAATGTGCGATATCGAGTTCCAGGTTCGTTAACGATCGAGTTGCTAAAAAGCAAGTTGGCGCTTTTGTCGACCATCGCATTTTAAGAGAGACGCATGGATCGTACCTGTAAATATCATATCACATCGCGAGTGGAGAGGAGCCGAGGCTCGTAAGAACTGACGACCCGCTCTCTCGGATGCCCGAAGCCGGCCGAGGCGGTCTACCTTGAACGGGATTCCTGATCGTTCGTAAATTTCACTAACAAAGAGTCACGAGACTCGTGAGGATAATAGCCGGATATACACGTATTTTCTCTCGCTAACGTGGATAATGCCGCATACACATCGCTCATTATAGACTCGCAGATTCCGATAGTTTTTCATAGATACATTTTCAGAGAGAAATGAATATAGGAAATATTAAATATTATTTCTCGTCTATTTGTAATCCTACTTTTAATTATCTACTTTCTCTGGATATGGATGTTGTAGTAGTAACTTACGGATCATGAATTTATAGTTGCGATAGGCACGCTATACGTGGTAAAAGATTTTTCCTCTTCAGATTAACGACATTTTACATCGCGATTTATTCTTTGTATCTTTGAGTTTTATTTTCTTTCAATATTCGAGATGTAACGAGAAATCTAATTATTCTAAAATGCAAATTTTATACAAGGATATTATAAGGAGGTTAATTTAAAACCGAAAAGCTTCCAAATTGCTAAAAATTAAAAATTTTAGTTATTTAATTATGATTAATTTAATAATTCCATCTATATAATTTTATATATTTTTTATTTTAAATGGCACTTTAATGAGTTCCGAGATTACTTTGAAATCACATCATATACATTTAGTAGTTACATTGATGATATGAAATTTTAATTATTTCGATACATGCGTATATTTGCTTTGGATATCATTCTCTATATTTGCCGAATTACTAAT